AAAATTCGTAAATCGAGACGAAAATAATTTAAAGTAGTGACTAATAATACTGAAACTCCAGAACATCTGCAATTCTTAGAGATGACTCATTCGATTTCCCTTTAAAGGAATATTTGCCTTTTTAATATTTAAAGTAATTTTCAAATTTTAGTAACCTGAAAAAATGAGAAATTTTAACCTTAAATGGAGTCTTGGATCAAAATTTACTGGTAATATGTAAATATAATCTCAGACGTCACCTGATGTGTAACACAGGTTGGAAACTAATTTATTTTGTGTTTCGTATCCTCAGTTAATATCTTAATGCTCAAACAATTGTCCTCATCTTAAGACTCTTCATAAATTCCATGTAGAACTAGCTTAGGATTTGAAAAAAAAGGCATTTTAAAGCAAACGCATAATCCGGAATGAAACAGGTCATCTTCTGACTTGGCCAACTCTAGCTTTCTAAAAATGATTTCAATTTCAATCCCTAACTATCTAAATGAGCCTTATGACAAATATAACTGATAAAAAAAAGTACAAACAATATGCATATATCAAACAAACAAACAAACATTCAAACCACAAGCAAAGAAATGGCACCCGCAGATGGAAAGCAATCTTTAGCTACTGCAGAAAAGACGCCTAAAAAATATTTCTGGAAGCGGCGGGATTCGAACCCAGACCTCTTAGACAAAGGCAAAGCTCCGTTGCACTACGTATACGAAGATGAATCAGTCGTAGCTAAAAGGGGAAACTTTCATCGTCACAACATTGTGACTCTCTTGTGTCAGTTAAGATTATTTTGGGTTGTATTGGATATAAAATCATCAACACCAGTTTGGGAAGATTTGTAAAAATTTTGATACTAATCAAATCTCCTTCCCCACCGAGAGAGAGACGAAAAAAATCTCAGTTTAGTAATGCTTCAATCAACCGATTCTACCACCTGAAGATCAGTATTTCTGGAAGGCCAAAGTCGGTCTGTATTTCTGGCTTCCGGTCGTTTCTCTGCTTGTGAGTTATATTTAGGCAACTCGTGAAAACCACAGGAAAAGTGTCATTCGTCTTCCTGACGTCACCTACTTGATTTTATGACTGAAATGTCTGGTTCTATGTTTTTTTATTTTAACTGATCACGATCGCGAAACAGCGTTCTGCAAATTTCAGAAGAATAGAAATAATTTACCTAAGCCTCGTGTGAGATGTGAACATTTATCTAGTGGAAGTTGATTCCACTTCAGAAAGTTTTTTTCTTCGAAAAACTTATTTCCGTTTCTGATCGTAAGCAGTATAGGTTTCTGTTTGAAAGGAAGCTTGGATCTCATCGCGTGGTAGTTTCCAGGCCTACTGACATTTTTCTAAGAAACAACTGCTGAGGCGCCATTACATGAGGAAAAAGCTATTTTGCTCGCTTACGTAGCTTGTTCATGGGCTTGGATAAAAGACAACGAATGACGTCAGACATAGAATGTTTCCGTTATTGTGTATTGCGTATCAAAGCAAAATTGATTTTCTTGGGAAAAGCGACAAAGCGCCTTTGCTGATACCAACAATGTGATAACGGAAAGGACATTTTGATGAGATAATCTACCATGCTTGCCGCTCAATAAACAGATTCCCCACACCTTAAACCACATGTACAACTCAGCATACTTCATCAGCTAAAGATAGCCATAAGTTATCTGTTCCAGTTGCGCTCTGAATAGGAGTATTTCCCGCATATTAAACGGTAAAGGTATTTATTTACCACGGGTTTCCCTCGCGGCTCGCAGTAGCCTTACCGTCTGGTCGACTTTCGTGTTCGTTGCCCGATGTTTTCAACAAACGAAATGATACTTGACTTGTTTGAGAAAGTACCTCGAGCTATGCAACCATAAACAATTCCTGTTTTATAATTGTTTGTTCTAGTTCCTCGAATTACTGAATAAACAGGCACGTTTTAATCAGGATATCTCCTGGAGTGTGAGAAAATGAGGAACTTGGAATGCCCGAAATCTACACTAGATAATCATGATGTGGAGATGAGCAAATTAAGAGAGATTTCACACGAATTTAAGACTGTCTATAAAGACTCAACGTCAGCCCTCCGTCATGTTCCACTGAACTGTGACAGCAAGCCCAAACAAGGACAAGACAGTGCAAATAAATGACGCATCTGCACGAAACGGGGAGTAAACAAGGGGGATAAGGGTCGGGTTTTTTCCTTGACGCACTGATGTCTGAAATGAAGCAACAAACACATCTTCTTTCTAAGGCCTCATTCTCTCTCTCTCTCTTTTTTTTTGTTTTGTTAAAAAGTTCTCACAATGATCTAGAGCAGAAAATTCAAGATAAGTACTAGGACTGAGTTTGGGAATTTTTCTTGCTGCAACTTTCTGCCCAGTTTGAACTTGAATACCCTCGCCGGAAACGTTTCTGTCCATGGTGAAGCACTTTGAATGGCAAGAAGCTCTAATTGAGGCCTTCTCGAATCAAAGGTGGCTCCATAAACATTCCAGCTGTCAAAAAGGCAAAAGAAACGGAGTCAAATCATTAAATTAGTAAAGTTTCATCACGCTTAGCCAGATAAAAATCTAGCAGGTCACGTATTTTGCAATAGTTCCCAGTGCGGCAACGTTTCGACGGCAATTTTGTGTCTCCTATTGTCTATTTGCCGATATAAACAAAGTGAGCGGTGCTCTATGAGCGTTGAAGTTTTTTTCTTCCAATCTCTCTTCTCGTCTTTGCGGTATAACAATGCCTGCGGTAACATTAATCATTTCGCTTGGGTCCCCTGTAAGATTGGGGTCAACGGCATTAATAGAGGGTTCATTTTGGAGAATAATCATATTTCGGGTGTGGAATCCAACCTAATACCGCACTGTGGTCGTTAATCTTTACAACTGACAATATTCTTAATAACAAGATGTGTTAATCGATGTTCACGGCGTTACCACATGGTGTTAGCTATATCGAGGGAAGTGATCTAAATCAGTCAAGCGTATTCAAAAAAATTTCCTTTAAAGCGAGTTACAGGAAACCCTTGCTTCCTGTGCGTAAAGTATATTAGCTGCAACGGTACAATATGAGAACATCTTCTAGTTAAGTCGAGCCTTGTTTCTTGACTAAAGCCGTATTTTATTATTAGCCTGATTTTTTTTTTGCGAAAGGAATGTTCAGCAAAAATTTCTCAGAATAACGCACTTCCTGTTTACTTGTTTACAAAGTTCAGTTTTTGATCCACTGTGTAAACACTGTTGACCGAAAATTGCTATCTGGCATTTAAACGGAAAAGAGGAAATCTGCTGTTTTTCCCCATAAAGCTTTCATCTGTTTCTTTTTGTTTGGTGCATCACACCAATTTAGGACATTTCGAAGACATATCATACCAAATACTCTTCACCCACTGAGAACATATGTCACACTATGCGCCACTGACGTCATATTGGTGTCTGTGGTGTGACATTTATCTTTTAATTTGCAAGGCTAAACACCAACGATAGCCAATCGTTTTCGACAGAAAATAATATAGGCACTCAACGATGTCGCTTGTTATCCAAGGGTTCATAGGTCGCGACAGCAGCGCGAATGAGACCCTGTTCAGATTGTCGACGGAGAAGGAAAGAGGCTCGTGTGACTATTGTGTTAGATCGGAGTAGGCTGACTAAATTCTGCTATTACCTCACTCGTATTTCTCGACTCGTCAAGCGATGTAAATTTTACGTCAAGAGTCAGTATTGATTTCATCTCAGCGACGGGCGCGAAATTCCAACGTTTGTATCATTAAATATCGGCGAAACCGGAAAGGTGAAACAGTGTTGAAAACTTAGAGAAGTATGGCCGAACTACCTGCAGATTTTATTCTGGGTGAGTATTTAAAATGGTGAGTAGTAAAATCCTGCTGCTAACCGCAGCTAGCAGCCTCCGGTGTTTATTCTGTGTGCGATGACTCGATCTCCATTGACTAAGTGTGTTCAACTGTTAGAGACTAAAATTGATTGAAGAATAAAACTAAAGACCACCAAATTGGATGAGATCATATGGGCTAAGCTGTGTTAAGGTGTCTCTCTTACTTTGAATCTGTCATGGCAATCCGACTGTTTTCACTCAGGCGGCACAATTTCCAAGAGTTGGGTTGTATAAACTTATTAGTATTTCTTTTATTTAAAACTATTAATTATCGGTCAACCGAAGCGAAGACGAGATTTTCTTTTATTCTAAAACTTCATCAACTTTGATATGTTCGATTTGATACGGTTTGGAGGGAAGAAAATCAAAATGTGACTGTTTGATCAGTGCTGTGAATTTTGAAAATCGAAAGTTTCGTTTTCGTAGTTCATATAGATAAATGTACATGTTGCAGTTGTCAAACTGAGCGTGTAAACTTTTGTTTATAGTTCGAAACGAACCGTTGATGTTACATGTACTTTCATTATGTTCAAGAACTGGCATACTTTTAATTTACGAACCTTGTTTAGCTTCAGATCGGTTTGTGACATGCAAAACAGATTAATTTAACCTTAAACCATAACCAGCAGGTTAGGAGCTGTTTCAACGACAGAGACATAACAATATTATAGCAAAGGACAGCTTAATATTTGCATATTCTCGCAAAAAGCAAGAGTGATCCTTTTCAAGTCTATTGAGAAAAATTGGATTGGGAATTAGCATTAAACATGTTTAGTTTCGTAAAGCTATACTTTTCCAAACAGCCGTGATCTGAAAAATTTCATGATAGTAAATTGAATACTCTCTGGAAACCTTGGAATTGCGTTCTTTGTCACAAAATTTCCATTTAGTTTTATTCCACCAAACAACAAGTGATAGCATATTAGGTGAAGTTAATAACTAAAAAGATTAGTGGATTCCGAGAAGTGTTCGCTCTCTTTGTAGGCAAGCTAAGGCCTAACAGGTATATTGTGATTGAGATATTTCGGCGACAATACTATTAATCGGTGTCAAGAATTGCCCATGAATTTTACATCTTCCAAAACAGCGTTCTGAAGTTAAACGCCCCCAAAGTGATAATAATGTCGTAACTTGTTCGCAGCTTTTTATTTTGGCCATTGTCAAGAGATAATCACACGGAATGTACTGAAGTCCTTTAGATATAGGGCGATTTATTACTGTATTATAAGGTTACGTCCACTTATTGAACCAGGAAATTAGACTAGTGAGGGAAAAAATAGAAATGTGGTTGTGAAAATTGACTGACATGAAAAGTACCATTTAAAATGTCATGCAAAGTTTGTAAATCCACTTAGAGAAACAGCTCATTGTGCTCCAGGAAATCCCATAGTGTAATTAAGATCCTGGATATCTCTTAATCAATATATTGTAGGGAGAATGGTACTGGAATACTTCAGTATATGTTAGTCTTTAAACAACGATACCTACAACCCTAATTAACATATTCTTTTTCAATATTTGAAATCAGGAGATGAGAAGAGATTTGTTGTATCTTAACACTAAACTTTGTGAAGCAGTGGTATAGAGATACTAAAATTTTCATAATCTTCCCAATTGAATCGTTATTGTCATTACACATTGAGCCTGAGCATTTATTATCACATTGTGTTCTAAAACTATATGGAATTGGAGTTAAGTTAAACCTTGCCCATATGCAAGTTTCCTCTCTATGATGAAAAAAGACACAACAAACTTTTTTTTCATCTCTAAAGAAAGTCTTGTTTAGTGTTAAAAACCAACAATGACTCATTATATTTTTAGTGTCAGTATAACAGAGAGACATTACAAAAATTGTTGATCACTTTGGATAACTGAATGATTTTGAATCTGGTAGTGTCACTTCTGCTCACTGTAGGCATTGAAGTCATCAGCTTGACACCTTTCCAAAATTAGGGATTGGTCATTTATGTTAAGGAGGGGAGGAGGGGCTGGTACATTTTCATTTTTTCACTTGTATCTAATTTCCAGAGGCAATGTTCTTGGCACTGGATAAAGTAATGTGGTCCTTAAAGAGTAGCTTGTTGTTGGTCCCTTCAGGGCTGTTTTCTTTTGCAGAGAGGAAAATGGAATGACTCCATTTGCACCTATAATAAATGACCAGTTCCTTATACTCAGCTGAATGACGTGCTATTTTGATAACCAATATTCCCAGTTCTGAAGACTGACCTATTTAGTGTAATTTAAAGTCTTTTTTGTAAAGTACCATGAAAGAGATGGTTTTGGGCCATTAGTGTAGCATGTGGTGGTAATGGGATGGTGTTTTAAAAAAATTGGACAAGAAAATGGACCTCTTTGTCATATTTCGCTTATTGATCCCTAGATGGACATGTGGAGGGATATGTTTAGTCTGCATATCTTGATAACATTGCTGAGAATCAACTTTCACCTCTTGTTTACAGTAAACAAGTGTACAGAGAACTGCATAATTATTCTTCTTCAGGTTTTCTGCTATTACAAATATTATCACCTCATTTGACAGATGTATTCTGGTCACTTCCATTTCATTTGAGAATGTTCTGAAATGTAGGTAGAAAAATAGATTTATTAATATAATCAGATACTAATTTCTACTTTTTTCCTTTTTTATTTGAAAGATCCATGTAAATGTAGTTTATTTTGAAGAGCCACTTTTAAATAGAGTGCACATATTAATTCAATGGGTTTAATTTATGCCATTTTAATTAATTAAAGCATTCAACAATGAAATGGTTTTTTTTTGGTCTGGAAATGAAAGTGATTAATAATAGATGTGCTTACAAGCATAAATCTTTGGCACATATCATAGCTTACATGATGCTACATGGCTTCAACAATCTTGCATTGGTTTGAGGTATAAATTCAATGTTGCTGTCTTTATTTCTTCTGTTTTTTTATGCCTGATGTTGTTATTCTGCTGGCTGTTAGATTAAGATACAAATTTCTCTAATAAAATAAGATTGTGATGCCTATGTAATTATATTGAACCAAAAATTTTATACTAATCTTGTATTTTTTAATTTTAGAGGAAGGTTCAATGTAGAATATTAGATGTGAATGATGTTGTGAAAAAAAGAATTATTCAATTGCTTCATAAATTCAATACATTATTCTTTGTGTTTCTTTGGATATTTTAAGTCTCCAGATATGTTCTTAAATGCTTGTGTTAATAACTAATTGAAAATGAATTGAGATCTGCTGTAAATCTTCTGAATTTTATGAAACTCATTTTGTTCAGCCAGCAGTTTCTTTGATGATATTTTTTCATTCTTCTCTGCATTTTGCTTTTGGATATTCAACTTGGAGAAGCACATTTTGTTTCATTATGTTGGTTTTTTCTGTAGACTGTTACAAAAATCCCTTTTAATTCATGTCATGCTGCAGATTCATATCTCCTATTTTAACCTTACAATTATACATAGATTTCATTTGAATATCAATGTTTCACTTTCTGATACTTTTGGATGCAAACAGAGTGCTACCAGTAGTACTTAGGGGTACATAGATTTAATAGTTTGTATAGGATGAATATCTAAAATATTATATAATTATGTATATATGTATATATTTTTTGGAAAGGGGAATTTTGTACCCTTATGAAGTGAAATTAGACCCTGTAAATTTGGCCAAATATTAACAGCAAAAGGTTTCCAAAGAACATCCCAGACACTGCCAGTTTTCTCAGTAATTTCAAGTGAAAATTTCAAATGCATGTAAAATTTGTAAGGTGAGAGGCATATGAGAAGCATGTTAAAATATTATTTCTTGATTTCATATGGCTTGTGGCAGGAAAAGTTTTAAACTGAATATGTCATATGTCTTTCAGAAGTCTTTCACATGTCTTTCAAATGTCTTTGATTTGGTTACTTCACATAGAGAGATCAGTTGGAATGAATTTTGTTAAGACATGACCCTAAATTTTTTGTTAAATCTCTTAAGGCAAGATATCAGCAACACGGGCATGTCAAGCAACATGTCACAAAGGTCATTTCACAATCAGCAAAAAACAGGGCTCTGGGGATCTTGTAAAATCATCAATGATAATCTAGGATTTTGCTTACTTATGGAGACAAAGCTCTTAACTCTTTACTCCTTTGCATCAGCATGCACATTTTCCACAGTGTTCTTAATTTATTCCTCAGCGATGACAAGGAGAATTTAATTAGAAATCAAGAGCTGTTAAAGTTTGCAATCATTTCCTTGATTCTCATGACCACATTTCAATCAAAAACTTTTCATTGTTCCTGTTTTTCTAATTTAGTAAGGAATTACGTGAGTATTTTTAAGAAAATGCTGTAATCCTTTGAAAAGTGATTTTTCAATTGCTGATCCTTTGAATGAGTTTGGAATCCTTCAGAATTTTTTGAATAATCACTTCAAATATTTTGTGATTACTCAGAGTTTGTATACATCCAATTCTTTCCAGCTAAATTGGTGATAATTAATTAAATTGCTTTTTACTTCATAGAATTTCAAGCTGGACTTTCCAAATTGAATTTTTTCCTTCAAAACACATTATCAAATGAATCCCTGAGCAGTGAAGCTGATGTGCACAAACAAGAATGTGTTACTCTTGTGGAAGGAATGATTAGTTCTCTAAACAACATGAAAAACAGCAACATGAAGGATGACAATCTCCTTAATAATGGACTCTCTGTTTCAAGTCAATCATTGGATGAAACATATGATTTGAATGGAATTGCTGACCAAGGGATTCCCCGCAGTGGTTCCCTTCCGGATATGTCCACTTATATGCAACCGGAGGATTTAGGAAACTGGCAAGCAAGCAAGACTAAAAAGGTATTTACTGCTACATTTTAATAAAAAAAATTTGTGGAGTAATTGTTAGTCCTTGGTGAACACTGCAAATGAATCATGTGGCCAGTCACAGATGTTCAAGACTGTTGTAATTTGGATCTATACCATTTTCTTTTCTTACATGTAGCTCAAATAAAGAACATTTGAAGGTATAATTGTATCTCTATCTATAATGATTTTCTTACCCAGAGTGCAAAAAAGCCATGGCCTTAAGTTGATTTGTCTGGTGCTTTGCTCTTAGAAAACATATATGATATATTTGATAATCGATAAACAATTTTTAAGGTTTAAAATTATTCTGTAAAACTAACAGTTGAGATTCAAACTTTTAAAAGTGAACATACCAAATAGTTAATAGGATTATTTACAATGCAGTAATAAAAATGATCAAATGAAATATGATAACCACAACAATCAACATTAGGATGTCTTTTTAAAGCTTATTCAGCACTATGTTGAAAAATTATCAATTTTTTAGTCTCCTCTGCACTTTGTAAAGTCACAAAATTGTAGATTGTTGCACTGATAAATGAATTTTGTTATAATTTCATAAAATAACAGTGTTGAATTAAAACAGACAATCAAATTAAAACCAAAAAAAAAGATTTTTTGGCAGCCTCTTTTATCTCTCTTCCTTCTTCATTGTTCCCCCTGAGAAGCAAGGGGGGTACAACCAATCCTTCTTGTAATTTTGTATTTATCTCATCTAAATACTGTTGCGGTGATTTTCTAACTTTACAGGACAGACTAGTTTTTGATTTGCCAGATGGCAAGATAGCATCTAAATTAAAAGGTCAACAATCAGGTTAATTACAACAAATTTTAACTGTTTGGTCTAGAGGGTAAATTAAACTGTGACAACTAAATCTAAAGTTATTTTTAACTTTAACTTTCTAACTTTTTCTGTTCTTTCTTGTAACTTGTAACATAAACAGGGATCTTATTATGCTGACTTTGATCATGAAGAGATTAACTTAAATGACTTGCGTCAACTTGTTATCTATCATCCCACTGAAGAAGAAGGGGACACCTCTGACAATAATGAGGATGATGTTCATCATCATAACACCTTAAATACTTCAAATGAACTAAACACATCAAACTGTTCCCCAGTCAATAAACGAAAGAGTCGCAAGAGAGACAGTGCAGCATTGTTTGACATTTCTCTGGAAGATTTGACTGAGCCAGATTTTGCAGGACTTTTGAGGGAGAAGCACAGTGAAAAGCTCTGGTGGTGTGTTCTTATCGACCAGCATCTGTGCATATTTCCTTCTCAAGATCCAGAAGAAGTAGCATATGATGTCATTATCATGCCATGTTGTCAGATCTCTTTGGATGATCGGCTTATGCGCACACCTGTGTTTAGACTGACTCAGTCAGACATGGTGCCTTGGGTGTTTGTTGCTTCTAATAATGATGAACTGAAAGAGTGGATGAAGGTTTTAACTATTGCTGCATCTGCTGGTAAACATTCCTCTGTTGCACCTTCTAATACAAATGAAAAAAAATTATCTGCTCCTCCCCAAGCTCCTCTTATGCAGTCCATTTTAGAGGAGGAGGAGGAGGAAGAACTTGATGAAGCATCTTTGAGTAGCTCTTTCAAATCAAATGCTAACCATCTTTCATCTCAATCCTTCAAGATATGTTCTGAGTTAAATGAGGTAAAGGGCCTTTATATATAAAAGTAATCTTCTTAAATCTTTGATGATCTGTCATAAACAGTAATTTAGAGTTTATTTTTTGATTGCTAACTGTTGCATTTTTATGCTAATTTTATCCTGTTTTGCAGGCATATTTATTTCCCTTTATTTAAAGTTGTTTTTGTTTTCTTAAAGTTGGTTTGAAGTACTTATTGCACCTTAAGTTCTTAAATTGGGCATATTTAAATTTTCATGTTTGATTTATCTAGGAGGTTGCGGTTACATTTTACTGCTCTAACAGATAAATCATACAATGAAAGGTTTAATGTTGAATCTTAGCTAAAAAATTTAAAGTGTGAAATGACTCATCACTGTTAAAGTGGATATTTACATTCTACATCAATTTTGCATGACTCGATGTAGTCTTGGAAAGAGACTTTTGTTGGTAGCAATGGCAGTTTGAGAACCTTATTAAAAGTAATCATTAGATTCAAGTGAGGAGTTGTTTCTCAGTTGAGTGTTATTAGTCAGTTTGCAGTGATGTTATTGGCTGCCAGACTTATGTGTTGGTAGCAAATATAGTTAATTGTTGGTTTTTTTATTAAACCCTTTCATTCCCATGATCTCATTAGTAATTCTCCTGTCTGTCTGTTGTACAATTCTCATGTTGTTAATTCAGAGAATTTGGTATAGGATCAATTAACAATTTACCAATTAATATTTCTCTATGTTCTCATCACTTATCTACTTAATATTGTATTGATGTTGTAAGGAGGAATTCCATCTTGGTCACTCATGGGAGTTAAAAGGTTTATCTGTTGGTTAATTCAGGTTGTTGTGTTCTATTTTGTCCATTCATTGTCAAGCCATCTTTGTTGCTATTCAAAGCCATCTGAGGTTAATTGGAGTGTCAAGTGTGGCAATTGGTACAATCTAGATAGAGATAGCTAGACTATATTTAGCAAGTTTTATCACCAAATCATAAATTGCGAAATAAATGTGTCTAATCATGTTAGGAATACAGTCTTTTTACAGCACAGAAATAGAATAGAAGTGGGTTTTACCTGCCAGTAAGCATGATGGTTTGAGTAATCTTATCTATATCTTGAGTCACAGATAAGTTAAATCCATAATAATAGATTTTTCTTAAGAGGAACGCCACATTGCTTATTTTGCATCTTTTTCCGAGCAAAGTGACACATTCATTAAGATGCATTTTTAAGCAATCTTCCCCAGTGAAAATTGAAGCTTAATCAATATTGAAAGAAATATCCACAAAATCAGTTCACCAGTTACTTTGAACACTTAACCTTATGTAAGGTGTAATCATTTTAACTGCCACTGACTGTCAATTTCTGATATGGTCTTTAACTTAGCATTATCAAAATAACACTTGTGGTGAAGCTACTGGTGAATATCACTGTGTCAGATGCTTAATTTGAATATTAATGACTTTCAATATCTTCTTTCTGTATTGTCTCAGTTGCTTGATATAACTTCATTTGTAATTCTGATAAATTTTCTAAGAATTTGTTACTTATACATTTTCCCTGAAAAGAAATGTAAAATTTGGAAAAGGTATCTAAATTTTGGTTTTCTGAATTTAAACTAAAATCTATTTTTAAACTGATATACCCTGATAGAGTCGAGCTGTGGTGAAACTAGTCGTTGCCTTATTGCCTAGCCAGATGTCTGGGAAAATAGGTGCGCTATGCCTAATTAGAATGAATCAATATCAATTTTATATATTGGTATAAATTTATATGTAAATTGATCGCAAACAGAACTGAAAAATGTTATTTGCGTATTGAAGGAGTCTTATGTTATTTGAGAAGTTTGCTTTGATCACAAATATTTTTGGAAATCAACCACAATGCCTTGTCTTGCAAAGCTTTTTGCTCACATTCAGAGCTGGTCTATTGGATCACGTGTATGTATATTAATTGAATTAACACTGAACTGATAAGCGATATTTGTAAATATTTCATTTGCTATGAGAGGAAGTTATAGATATGAACAAAGCTACAAGCATACATCTACTTGTCATATTTCTGTAAGCAGTTGTGATGCCACATTTCAGAGATATGAAGACAGTTCGAGCTAGGTGGAAGGATGTCTGTTGTTTTGTAAGGGATAAGTTGTTTCTTTGTATTTAGTCAACAAATTAGATCAAATTTTAAGGCTTGGCATAACAGCAATGGGGAAATTTCAACACAATGTTGATGTTTTGATTGTGGACTTGAAGTTTCACTATTGCAATAATGAGTCCTGGGAGTGGAAACTGTGGAATTGGAAAAAATTCTAGAAAATAGCATAATAGCATAATATTTTTAAAAACTTATAGTGTTATTGTTAGTATCAGTATTAACTTTTTTTTTTTCTTTTTTTTCATGTTTGTGAGTCTGTTATTTTGTTATATATAGGCACTATTTTAGTAGGTGATGAGGTTGCTAAGGGAAGAACACAAACAAAATGATCTAGTTGCTTTTAAGTTGTTGCTAATAGTATGAATAATTGTTTTCACAGAGTGACAATAATCTGCCAGTAGGTTATGTGAATGGAGAATCTGTGAAAAATGGTTATGAGAAAAAAGAGCTACCTAAGAGGCCTGATGAAGTTGATGGAGAAAAGTCTGTAGAAGGCCCTTATGAAGACGTAGCAAACCAAAAGAGAGCTGAAGAGAATTTTCAAGATGATGGATTTGCTACAGATGAATTTGACTCTGCTTCATCAGATGGTGGTGATGTATCAACAATCCCCCAAACACAACCAGTTCAGAAAGCTAAAAAGACAAAACAGTTCTTTAAATGGCTCAAGAAGAAGGCAAAGAAAGGCAAGCTCTTCAGTAGTCCTGAGGATGGGGTTGCCTTGGCAGGTTATGCATTCAAGTCAAATGACAGCTCCAAGCGCTGGTTCTTGATAAGAGAACAGAAATTGCTTTGTTTCAAAACAATCAAAGATGAGGATCCTGAAATAACAGTTGACCTGAATGGCAGCGAGATCAAAGTGGGAGAGGAAGAAAAAGCCAAGCTTTCAATTCAGGCGATAAGAGATGGTACAAATCATTTTACACTTGTGGCCAAAACTTTGAAAGACTGGGAACGCTGGAAAAAGGCTTTCTTAATAGAATCTGGATTTATTCAACTTGCTGTCTCACTGACAGATACAAGTTCAGGGTTTTATGATCAAGAGGAAGATGGAGAAGAAGGTGAATATGTTACTCCCATAGCTTCTCCAGGATCAGAGAAGACTCCAACACCTACAAGCAACACTTTCCCGCTAAATAAAAACAATGAGACAGATGATGAAGACCTTTACATGGAAGTTGTTCCTTCTACGGTGACAACTGTGGAAAAATTGAAATCATCATCACCGTCTTCAAGTCTTCTGGAATTGGGACCACTCCCTCCTCTGCCACCTGATCTACCCCCGCGGAACACTCCAGATGGTGCAGAGGGAGATGGAAATGAAGAGAGCTCTCAAATCACATGGGAGAGTGAGGAGATTTATGAAGAGGTGTCCTCTTCAGTTGCTAATGCTGATAAAGTAATCAAATGGCAGGGCCTAAATTCCAAAAAAATAGAAGTGTGTCCAACTGGTATTCAAGGCAAACACTCTGATAAATCAGCTAAAGGTCAGTTATGTCGTAATTTTATTAACTACTTAAAGGAGTCAGGGTAGTCATGTTATTTTCACTTCACCTAGAGTAGTAAAAATACAATTAAATTCACCATCTTACAAAAAGATGGTGGACACACGTAACCCAGAATTCTGCTTGCCACAATATGTCCAATTGAGGTAAAGCTAGTAAACCATATAATCTATTTTGTGAGATGCACAGAAATGCTTTTTTCTACTACATTAAATGTGATTTTACCACACTGACTTGAAACTTGAGGCTTGTTCATCTTAATTTTTGAGGATAAATGAGATAATTGAGTTCTTAAGAATTTTCGAGGTTTTCTCAGCAGATTTCACCCTTTAACTCCCAAAATCTGATTGTTAACTCTCTCCTCTTGCTGATACACATTTCCTTGTACATTAGTCATGACAATGACAACTTCTTTTTGATGGGTTCAAGTATTCTCATTACTTGTTTGCTTGATATGGTATTGATATTATGGGGAGAAGTTACATCTTCATCACTTCTGGGAGTTAAAGGTCAGAAAAGGAAAGGTTTAGCTATCGATAAACAAGGAGCTTTGATTGGCTTTCCTTTATTCCCTGAGGTTTACTGTTTACCTTAAAAAAGAAATGAGATTTTTTAAGCAAATGGCCAAGCTCTTGTTGACTTTCAAATTGAAAGAGGAACAAAGAAAGAAGCTTAACTAAGTCGTATCAATCGTACCTTTCACAAAAAATATTACATCTATGACATTACTCACATTTCATAGGTTTCCATAATTTAGATAATCACCTCTACTGATTACACTCCATTTTGTTTCTAGGTCCTGTCCCTGCTGGTGTTTCAGATGGTGCTATTGAAGATAGTGCTTTAACAGCATCATCATTTCTGGACAATTCTTCAAAGCCCTCTGCAGGCAGACTTAATTCATCAGTCGGAGCGTGGTGTGCCAAAGGCAATGATAAACAGCAATATCTTCAAATTGACCTTGGTAACATTTTTTTAGTGTTATTTTTGTAAATTATTATAACTAAAATTTGCAATATGGTCAATTCAATTTGAGAAATAACTTGTATTCGAGGCATATTTATGCTGAGGATCGAGGAGGATTTCAACTTCTCGAAATGTTTGGCCGCCATGTTGAGATGAGATATGAATTTCGTTTTAGGGGGGACCCAAGGGGTAGGAGATAAGCAGGAGGACGCAGGGGAGAGGTGTGTGGGAAAAGCACTAGTACCCATTAGGTCATAAATCAAGAGATTGTACATAGTTTGTGAAATGAACGATGAAGGGAGATGAGAACTTCTTCAGAAAGTAAATAAAGAAAGTAAGTAAATTTAGAAAAACGTACTGGACATGATTATTGAAAAATTTTTGTAGGTGAGGTGGACAAAGTGTGTGGTGTGGCTTCACAAGGAAAACCAGGTTTTCTTGATCAGGGAGGTTGGTTTGTGAAGACTTACACACTGGCTTACAGCAAGAATGGAGAAAACTGGGCCAATTATAAAGAGTTTGGAATTGCTAAGGTAAAATCATTAGTTTGCTTGTGTTTTGGAGGTATCTCCAACTTATTGAGGAATTTACAAAAAACGTACGATTTCCTCGCTCTAAGGACTCTATATTTGCTCCTCAACGTGCAAGGGTCTTCTTTACCTCCGCCCCTCAACGACTCTTAGTTGTGTCGTTTTTTATTTGAGAAACAACTTCAATTGTTTTAATTTGGTAATCCAGAGCAAAAGGTTACTCAGCTTGTTTGTACATTTCTTTTATGTTAAATTGCTTGCATCAGTTCAAGTTCTAAGTGTTGTTCTTAATGCATTGTATTTTCTGACAGGTTTTCCAGGGTAACAGCGATCCTGACACAGTAGTCACGAACATGCTGAAAATGGCAGTGAATGCACGTTATGTGAGGATAAAGCCTCAGTCTTGGCATAACCACATTGCCATGCGTGTTGAGGTTTACAAAGGAGAAGCTAGTGAGTGCCTCCATATTACTTTAGGTGCTTGTTTTCAAAGGAAAAAAGAAGAGTTTGTGTGACTTTGGTTTACGCATTGTGAGTAGAGTAGTTTTTTTTCTTACTGAAACAAAGATTCATGGTATCACAGAGGCATCATATAAATTTTGATATCTCATTGATTCCAATGTATTAGTACAGTACTTGTCCTTGTCCTCGCTCGGGCCACCCACTATTTTTGTACTGCAATCAAGGTAGTGTTAGGTTGATTCAGATCATTTTCATTCACCCTTGAATAATCAAAAAGAAAATGGCTAAAGAAACGGCTCGTTATCAGTGCTTAAGTTATTTTTTTAAAATGTCCTTGTGCTCAAAAACTAAACGCAGGCTACACGATAATAAGTTACATGAAAGCAATAAAACAACTAAAAAAAATAAACCAAATTTGCTCAATATGTTATAAATGAATTTAGACGGGCTCTAAGACACAGACTTTATTGATTATATCACAGTCGCTTCACTTCGGAAAACTGAACTCTTTCTCTCCTAACATCTTTTTAGTACTTCTCCTTACTCTCAGCTGTACAATTCTTGTGATGTTAGTTCGGATAGTTTGGTATTGTATCAACTAGTAATCCTGTAATTGATATTTTTCTTTATTCTCGTCACTTGTCTGCTTGACAATGTGTTGATATTGTAGGGAGAAATTTTGTCTTGGTCACTCAATGGAGTTAAAACAGATTTTGGCGGTACGAACTTTCGTAAAATTGTTTATAGGTCACACCTTATTCTTTTTTTTTATCGCATGGTTTGGACCATTTTGTACGTTCTTCCTTTCTCAGGTTCGAAACTTACTGCTGGAATCCACAAATTAGCTGACACCCTGACAAAAACAACAAAGAAGAAAACAGCTGACCGGCAACGTGCTACATCCTCTCCAGTGGAGATAGAAGAGGAAGACGATTACAGCGCTGGTAAACCTACTTTGGAAAGAAATGATTCGTTTGACGAGAAGGTCAAGTACATTAATCGTCCATCCTCCAAGGAAAATCTGTTGGATGGAGATGAAGAGCGTGACAAAGAAAATCAAGTCACTGGTGTGGATAATGAAGCTGTTACTAACGAAGAAGAATTAGCTGCTGATGATTATCTGCAGTTGGTTAGAGAACCCACTGAAGAGGAAAAGCAGGTGGAATTGAAAGTTCAACAGAGAATCGAAGCGGGACGGAAAGGAGAACAGGTACGTTTGGTTTCTAAAGTCACCTTAACAACTTTATTTTTTTATATTTTCTTTTCAAATTGTATTCAGGGTTATAGGATAGGGAGCCACTTGTTCATGAGTTGATATACTGTTAGGTGTAACCCTGAGTAAATAACGTTGACAACTCTAGTCTCACTGATTAGTGCAAAATGTTTACGGGAACCCTTGATGTACATAAACATTTCATTTTCGGCGACTACGTTTCTTATTTGAAGCAATCAAGTTTTTCTATTGGCGTAATACTAAGCTGTTAATTAAGGTAAAAATATGTTGAACCTGCTAAGAAGTAAGAAGTGGTAATGACGTGTGGTTTGGCATCTCACCATAACAGCTTTCAATTTAGAGACTCGAGACAAGATTCTCTTTCATTGTTTAGTAAATGCGTGGTTCTTACTACAAATCCTTCGTCCTTATTATTCAACCCTAACGTTTTGATCATGTCGGTCTTTGTAAATTTTAAGAGCCGTTATATTGTTGTGAGTACACTTGACGTTATTTTTTTTGGCGAACAGGAAATATTTTTGTCAAATTCTAACACAACTGTTTTGCTCCTGCTCAAAGATTGGTAGATATGAAGTATCACAAGGAATCAAGGCTAGAAAAAGTCTGTATGAGAACAATCAACAAAGCGAGACGACCCAGGACCAAAGGAGAGACAGCGTATCAAAGGCTCCCAAGGAAACGGAGGTTGTAACAAAGAAACAAAAATACATTGTGGAAAAGAAAGAAGTTGAAGAAGAAAAAACTGAAAACAAAGCCAAGGATAAAAAGGAGAGAAATTCTTCTAATTCATCCCAACGGGGTAAGTAGCAAAGTACATATTTCGATCGCTTATCATCTGAATGGAATTTGCAGCTAAGACTTTTTAGCAGATGGTACCGAAATTTCCCATCTTAAAGGCTTACAATCGGAAAGTACCTTTTTTTACTTTGCTGTTTATCATTCTCAACGAACGTCGAGGTTTCCATCTAGAAAACAGTCATGATGGTGCCAACAAAAGGAGATTTTTTTGCCCAGTGATGTTACATACATTTAGGCAGCTTGTCTCGAGAAGAGTTATTATGAGATTTTCTGGGCAATGGATTTTAAAAAGCTAAAGTAATTGTAACAATACAATCTACATTATGGAGAAGGGGAAAGATACCTAGACGTAATGATGTGTGTGCACTTGTGACTCTCTCTTGGTGATGTTATGATAATTTTCATGGCATCTGGCACGGTTTCTGATGACAGTGAATGTTATGGAAAACGGAAAATGAAATATTGATTGAAAAATTAAAATAACATGTGAAAGGAAATCCAATATTGAATTGGTTTCGCTATATTACGCCTGATGATTGGTCGAAATAAAAACGTGCCACTCTTTGCGAGTTTCAACCAATTGGATGTAAAGCTAAATCCTGTCTCTACTTGGTCACTTACGTTTTCCCGAGCTAGTCGGATACATTGATTTTTGATTATAAAGCTTATCTAAGGCTTGACAATTCTATTCGCCAGATCCAGATAGAGAAAGAGAGGAGTTGGAGAAAACTGAAAAGGCTTTCCAGAACTATGCCAAGCAGCTGAAAGAGGAGGGAGGACCTGTTGTGAAAGAAAAAAGAGCTTCTATTGTCGCCTTAAACAGACTTAACTTCGAAGACCCGAGGAGTGCTTCAAAAGCTAAAGAGAATGGAACTTATCCTGAAAAAATGGAGAGTTTGCTGAAAGAAAAAGAAGAGCTTCTGAAAAAGATGGAAAATCTGAGAAAGAGGTTATCAGTCGCCAAGGATAGGAAAATATTCTTCAGTCTGTCGACTTCCAGATCAAAGGCAACCACAGATGCTGACGCTGAATTCCATGAATCTCAAAATGAGATGACAAAGACAAAGAAAAGACTTATGGAAATTGAGAATGAAACGAAAAATCTGAAAGTGATGGAGTTAAGATACCAAAAGACACCTGAGAAGACAAATCCGGAGAAGCCGCTTCGTAAAAATAGTAGAGAATGTAAGCTGGGTTCGGTTGAGGTACAAAGCTCAAGGATGGCTATTTCATCCCCGTCCTCTGGGAAGGACAAGGAGAAAGAGCTTGCCCAGACAGGAAGTGTGTTGTCTCAGATCAAGGTAAGAATGGACTAAGACGAAAAGATGTTTAAACTGGGATCATTCATTTTGTACTTGTCTTTAGTCGTCGTCTAATGGGCATTCTGGTTTCTGTGGAAAACATTTCAAAGAACCACCCGTTTAATTCAAGTTTAGAGACAGAGCTTCCAAGATTTGACAAGTGATTCTTCCGTTCGGCATTTTCTTACTGACAAAGGAATTTTTGTTTCATTAAAATGCCACTCTTTCGCTGAGTAGTTTGTCGGTTCTTATGAGCTGTTTCCTGGAATGAGTTTTTAAATTGTGAGAATTGATAGCTGTTGGATGGATAATTCCTTACTTGCCAGGTGTTTTAGCTTCAGAAACTCTTTACAGTGGCGAAGTTGCATTGTCAACTTAGTTGATAAAACCAAATTTTGTTATAGCTTACGATCAAAACGAGAAATAGATTTGAAGGAAAAGAGTTTATGTAGTCGATATGCGCAGTAATATAACATAACTATTAAGTCATACGTGACGTTGGAGAAAGTCAGTAATCCCCGGCCAGACCTTTTAGAAATAAGGAATTGTGTTGTTTCTTTTGGGGAAGCGTTCACAGTTTAAAGAAAGTCAGTAATCCCCGGCCAGACCTTTTAGAAATAAGGAATTGTGTTGTTACTTTTGGGGAAGCGTTCACAGTTTATTAACGGGACGTTTCCATTCTGAATGTAAACCTGATACTAAGCTTGCAGTTTTTATTTAACCAAGAGCAACTTAACTCACAGTTGTTGTTATTTTTCAGGTGTTTGAACAGATGAAGAAAAAGTAAAAGCATAAGGAAACTCAGGAGTTATGATTTGTCGGAGGAACTCTTTTTAATTTGGAGGAATATTTCATTCTGAGTAAATTGTAACTTCTGCCTCTAGAATTTTCGCCAAGAAGGCAACATACTCATATTGTTGTCTAATAAACTACCGTCAAAGCCTCCATACCTGCGCTAACACGTAGTTGCGTTACGTGTTGAAGCTAGTGGTTGAGTTATTAAGTGTTATTGCGTTTTAGCAAAGTGTTTACTTGGTGACGTGAGGTGACGTGACACAAGTTACCTAGCGTGTATGTTTTCAAGACGTTGTACAAATAATTAAGTTAAGTCGTGTCTTCATCTTGAGTTAATCTCTCTGTAACGTATTAAAAAAAAGACGCTAGTCCTTAATTATATTTGAATATTCAAAACGTGTTTTTTTAAAATACATTAGAGAGAATTATAACTGCATTTCATCGATTTCCATTCCTAAACAATTTCTAGCTCACGATGCGAAGAGAGCAATCACGCAAGTAGCTGAGAGTTTTATTTCAGTGGTCGTTAAGAACAACAAGTGGGTACTTTAACTAAGTTTTACACAACTTAAAATCGCTAGTATAAAATGTGCACTCATTATAGGAGAGTGATACTTTTTATTTCATGTGTGTGGTGGTTTGTTATTGTCATTTTTTAACGGTCAAATTCGATTATCTAAGTAACTCATATTAAATATGCACCATAATAAAACTAAAAAATGTTTCGTAATGCCACTATTGGTAATTGTAAATTGTATTTAGGTGGCAGTAAGAATTATTTTTCCGACTAGCAAACGTTCGCTAAGCATTTTGTTGTTGATGAATGTAACGAGCTGAGTGTTCTTTCAAGCTTCCTTAAGGTATTACTTAAATGTTGTGTCATATATCAGCTGCTTTTTCTCAGAAGTTTTCAGGTTTTTTTTGTGTGTAATTAAATTAGTTGTGTTAAAGTGACGCTCAAGTAAGGTAATACTACTTCGGCTCGGGTAAACATCTATTGCCAGTTTAGGACAAAATTACAACCTTTTGCTTAAATCAATGAATGTAGAGAGTTTTTCAACTCGTTAGCAAATAAACTTCACATTTTAAGTTTTTCGTGAATTTCGTTTTATTTCCTGCTTTCACGATTGTGTTTTCCATGTACCGGCCCAACGTCAGCTCCCTTTGTAACAAAGGCCAAACAGAAAAACATAAACTCTCTCAACGAGCGAATGAGAGCTCAAAATGTTAAGAAGCAAACTGCTAGAATTGAAGGAAAACGCGAAAAACCATGTTACTAACGGTTTTACTTTTGCCTGTATTTTCGTTTACGCTCTTTGTCGTTCAGGCTAGGATTAGGTTAATCTCTTCACGAGGTCACAGCGGATGGTTTATTTGACTAGTCTCGGAACGAGTATTTACGTCTTTCGTTTGTTACAGAACGGTTTTTCAATTATAAAGTCATAGTTCTAGGACGGCAAAAATGGCGAAACTAACGTCCCTGTGAGAATGCAACCGTTCACCCCCATGCAAATCCTCAAATTTGGCAGATTGCGTAACATAAACAGGCCTAAACATATGTACCATTTATAAACGAGTCCTGTGAAATGGCGCGCACACGAGGGGAATTCTCAGATTTTAATTTGTTAAAGGCCTTTGGTTTGGAGGAAACGAAGAGGACACTTTGAACGCCAAAAACAACGACATAAATTTAATTTTTCTAACAGTATCAAATTTTCTATTTAAAACGCAATTTAACTGACTTATTGCTCCGTCTTAAGCCTTTATTTTTTGCTGCGCGAAAAGTTTGTAATCCTCTCAGCTGCGCCTCTTGGTTTAAAAAACTTCCAGTGTTCTCCGAACATCCCGTATCTTCTCTAAAAGAATAAGGAATATAAATTTTTTTCCGTCGCGTGTGTGAAAGGGAATGCTCAAGACGACTTAAATTTGTATACAAAAATGCCTTTGTTTTCATTTTTACTCCGCCGGTGCCACGTGGGTTTTACCTGGAGCTTTGGACTCGTTTGTTTTTTGTTATGACGATATGTGATTGGTTTAATATACATCTTGCCATATATTCAGCCAATCAGAAACCAAAGCCGCTATCATAACAATAAAGGACCGGCATAATTCCGGCATTCGCCAAAATGGCGGTGTTCTGAGTTACTTTTCCTTTGGCGTGAGAACGTTTTTTCTGGGGTAAAGCCGTTATGGATCCGAACAATGGCGATACTGATGTTCTATTTTCATTTGGCCTTATCACTGACATCCAGTATGCAGATATTTGTGATCGACCAAACTCTGCAAAGACGAGGTGGCGTAGATACCGAAACGCTCTGTGTTGTCTGAAAGAAGCCGTAGAACATTGGAAGAAACCAAACAATTCTCCCTCATTCATCGTACAACTGGGAGACATTATCGATGGCTTTAACGCAGATCTAATCGATGCAAATAATGGCGAGAGTAACTTCTCTCAAGAAGCTTTGGATGCAGTGATGAAAGAATTTTCTGAACTTCCACAAGAAATTCCCGTGTTTCACAACTTAGGAAATCACGAACTGTACAATTTTACTCGCGAGGAACTTTCAAGATCTATTCTGCACCCTTCCAACAGCTGTGAAAGTGCTGCATATTTGAGAAAGCATCAAAGCCTGCCTGCTTCAAGCGAGGAGGAGACGAAACCATTTTACTTCTCGTTTGTACCTCATCCCAAATTTTGTTTCGTGTACTTGGATAGCTACGACGTAAGCCTCCACGGTGTAGACGAAGGTAGTCCTAGGTATAAAGAAGCTCTGGCAACGGTGCGTAAGTACAACAAGAATGACGACTTCGAAAGTGCCGATGGTCTTCACGGCTTAAACAGACGTTTCGTTGAGTACAATGGTGCAATTGGCCCTGTTCAACTTCAGTGGCTGCAGGCAGTTCTTGAAGAAGCTCAAGAAAATGATCAAAAAGCTGTTATTTTCAGCCATGTCCCAATCTCTCCAGGAAACAGGCCTCGACGTGGTACAATAGATCTGCTTTGGAACTACCAAGATGTACTAAAAGTGCTCTGGCAGTCTGGATGTGTGGTTGCCTGTTTCCATGGTCACACTCATTATGATGATTATTTCATGGACAAACATGGTATCCATCACTTGACTTTTGATGGTGTTATTACAGCACCTCTTGATTCCAATGCATTTGCCACACTGCATGTTAACAATGATGCTATTATTATTGAAGGTTTTGGTGTCATAGAAAGTCGAGTATTGAAGTTTTTTCACTAACATACTTTGTGAAAAACTTGGTGACAAATTTTAAAGGTTTTGGTGTCAAATAGAAGGTCAAATGTTGAAAGTCAATTGCTAACCTACTTTGTAAATTTCTTTGCGTCAAATTTAAAGGTTTGAATTTTAAAATTATGGTAGTGAGAAAGCTTGTGCAAAGAAAAAGAAGTTATTAAAGGGGGTATGTTGAAATCCTGTTAGCAAATTGTATGGCTTAGGCAGGCAGTACGTGATACATTTCAGTTTTTTATTGATACCATTTTGCATGTTATGGAAAAAAAGTGCTATTCAAAAAATTGATCCCAGTTATGATAATTTCCAGTAAAAAAATGATGGTAATCGTTGGGTCACTTTTCTTTAACAAGTACATGTTTTAACAGATCTGAACTGATCTACCCATTTCAAGTAATATTTAATTGGCTATCAATGTGATGCTTCATCAAGATGCTGCTGTTTGTAAAATAGGGTTGATGTATATTTTGCTGCACTGCGGACAGTTCCTGGAATAATATAGAATTACTTGATAGAGCAGGCTGTTTTCAGTGGAGTGGGAGGAAGATTTTACTTTTACATGGGTCTTGAAGACTCATGCTGTTCTGGAGGTAAATTGTTCTTGCACATCCCTAGTTGTCTCAGACATAATACTTCTAGTGTGTTGGATACATGTACATATTTGTAAATGTATGGCATTAGCTATGGATATGGTACTCCCTTGATTGCTAGTCTCTGTTATTGCTTTCTCTAATAAAAAATGCTTTAAATAATAAAGAAAATGCCATATCCCTCCTCATCCAAAGGTTAGAGAAAATTCATAGGGCAAAAGGGGTTTTTGAATAAGTGGAACAGTCTCTAAGGGTATGGGCAATGCTAAATTGGTACTAATTTGAAGCGGATTAGAGATGGAGATAACCAAAACCCTTTTAGACATTTTCTCAGCACAACCTACTGTGTGCTTAGTCAGCAAAGTTACTCTTACTGGTATTTGTCTTCTTATGTAAGGTTGTGATGTCTGAAATGTCTTTTGAGCAAAAAAAATCAAAATATTTGGGCTGCGAATTATTGGTTGAATCTCTAATTTTTTAGTTCTGTGTTATTTTTTAAACATATTCCAAAGGCAATAACTTGGTTAATGGTGTACATTAATGTTCATAAAAGAATTTTTAAAAAATTAATTAAAACTGGATTAGAGAACACTTTAATAAAGTGGAATTTTTTTGTAGTGGTGATAATAAGGTGAGAACATTACAGAGTGCTATTTCCTCTATACTATATTCCACACCATATTGTTTATATTAATTAATTTAGTTATGGTATCCAGTGTGTTAATGAAAATGTTACCCATGTTTACATTTTAACTGCATTTCTAAAGACTCTTTATGTCTCTAAGCTGTACATAAATGGCGACAGCCACCTGTAGTGAGCTGAGACAGTTGGGAAAAATGGTCAGAGAAATTCATTACTTTCTTAGGTCCTATTGAATGTGTAAATAATTTACAAATGCCAAGTTGTAGCGAATGAGATGTAAAGATTTCTGTTACCTTATATTAGCAAGGATCTAATGATGTTTTACGCACAATTTAGTGCTTAACATAAATCAGTGGAACTAATGTATTAAATTTTTAGTTCATAGAAAAGTGAAGGGGAAATTACTTTAATACACAGACTTATATTATATAACTGAATTATTGCAGTCTTTCATGTCTGTTACCAAAATTATCAAAATGTGTGCTGTTTTAGAATCTACAGTTTTAATTACTTGTACTTCTTTCACCCACTTTGGTATATTATTTATTGTTGAAGAAATTGCAATCATGAGCAATTTTTGAAAACAGCATTGGAGTTATTCTCAATTATTTACTAACCATTATTTATTAAGCTGGTCAAGATAATAAGTCTGACTCTTATGGTGGATATTTATGTTATTTCTTAAATCATATTTTAAAAGCAGTGTTAAAAATTAAAACAAGAGTTAATTCATGACGTCTGTTTTTATTTGTGTTGACCCTCATCACGTGTCAGCAAGTGTTACCTACTGGTCAGCTGGTTTGGTTTGCTACCATTGGTACTCAGACCTCCCCCAGTAAGACTGGAGCGAAATTGAAAACGCTAACGAAGCATTTGTGATGCAACCGTTGAAAAAATTATGGTAGAGATGCAGAAAAATTTCGCTATGATGAGGTGCGAGGGCAGTAGGGAAAGCGATGTCTTGTTTTCATTTGGTTTGATCACAGACATCCAGTACGCAGACATTTGCGATCGACAGAACTACCAGAAAACAAAATGGCGACGATACCGAAACGCTCTTACTTGCCTTCGAAGAGCTGTTTCTCATTGGAAAGATGCAAAGAGTTCTCCAGCCTTCATAGTGCAACTGGGAGATATCATTGACGGCTTTAATGCAAATTCAATCGACGCTAATGACAGCGGAAGAAACCTCTCTAAAGAAGCTCTCGAAGCCGTGATGATCGAGTTCTCCAAACTTCCGGATGGTGTACCCGTTTTTCACAACATGGGAAATCATGAGCTCTACAATTTCTCTCGCCAAGAACTTGAACGATCTGTTCTTCATCCTTCAAACAACCGTCACACCGCAGCATTTCTAAACAGCGATGAAAGAGCTTCATTTGTGAGGCTGGAAACGAAACCATTTTATTTCTCGTTTACACCTCATCCAAAATTTTGTTTCGTTTACCTGGATAGTTACGACATAAGCCTTCTTGGCGTTGACGAAAGCAGCTGCCAGTATAAAGAAGCTCGTGAAATAATACAAAGACATAATAAAAATGATGATCTGGACAGTCCTATTGGTCTCTATGGCTTAGAGCGACGGTTTGTGAGGTTTAATGGTGCGATCAGCACAGAACAACTGTCGTGGCTCGAAGCTACTCTGAAAACTGCCGAAGAACATGGCCAAAAGGCTGTGGTATTCAGCCATGTCCCTATTTACCCTGGATTCACAGACACCATGACATTATTGTGGAACTACCAAGATGTTCTGGAAGTGTTATGGCAATTTCCTTGTGTGGTTGCATGTTTTCATGGCCACACACATCAATACAGTTATGCAGTTGATGAAAAGGGTATTCACCATTATATTTTTGATGCTATTGTGGAAGCTCCTTTAGATTCCAATGCATTTGCAACCCTCCATGTCAAAGATGATTCCATTGACATTGAGGGCTTTGGAATTATAGAAGATCAGGTGTTGAAATTTTCTCACTAGATCGCACAGAGTAGCAGGTGAGGCAATCATTAGAAAAGGCGTAAATTTTATGTTTCTGCGTGCAGAGAGATGATAGCATGACTGTGTCTTGTGATCTGTAATGAACAAAATTGAGCACCTTGGCTCTACTGGGGCTTTTTTCATCTACTATTCATTTATGTAGTAAAACATATAGGTGAATGGTATAAAGGAGAAGGAAGCATGCTCAGGACAGTGAAAAGCAGCATCTGTTAGTTTTCGTTTTCATTTTTATCATTTTTATTTTCTATCATTTATGGTACTACTTATTCCAAGTGATTTTTTTTGTCTAGAAGGTATCTCTCATGCACTGATTCCTGATCTAAAAAAACATTTTCATGGTATTCTTTAGTTAAATTCTTTTAACTTGGCAAAGTTTCCAGTTGTGCATTACTTTAAGGGATTATCAGAATTTAGCTTTAATTTAGAAAAACGGGGTAACTCCCTTGTGAAGTAATTGATGGAGATTGAAGTTGACAAGTGAGCCAGTGCTTTTCTGTTATGAAAATTTAATGGCTCTCTGAATATTTATTTTTTATTTCCATCATTGTCAGAGAGCTAAAGTGTGTATCTGTTGCTCACTGAGCTGGGAGTGTGTGTCTCAAAGTGATCAGTACTAAATGGGTACAGGAAGGAGAATGTAGAATGCTTTTGTAAGAGGGATAAGACTGATAGTTTTGGTTAATGAATCAGATATTGTGAAAACAGATGATGATGATTTAGAAAACTTGTGCAATACATATGCTTATGCTGTTTTTTTTAGACTGTACTGTAAGATTCAAATCAAATGCACTTTTACATTACTTTACGGGTAAGTTTGATGTTATTGTAGGAGATCATTCTCTTATTACCATTTGCATTTGACAATGGTGACATGTCATTGCCAAAATGTCATGTTTTTATATCATTACTCTTTATTCTAAAATGTTTCTCAAAACCTCTCATCATTAGAATGTTGTAGATACAACATAGCAATAAGATATTCCTAATATATTGTTGCATGAAAACTTTATAATGTGTTTTAAAATTTTCATTCCTTGTCCTGTATTACAGTTAAGTAATAGTGAATGGTTGATAAACAAATAAACATTCAATGTCAGAATTTCCTCCAGTTAATAATAAAATTATGTAAAATTTATACTACCAACAACTTTTCAAATGACTGTAATTAAATCATCTAATAATGTTTGAATTTATTAATTGATAAGTACTATATCAGTTCTTATTATTATTGAAAAGTCAATACATGTTTCAGGAAAAATAAAAACCTCAAGGAAATTTTATTGCAGTTGAATTGGACAATTTGATATTTAATTTGGGTAAACATGTATTCTCTCCTGGAATGTTGTTATTTGTTTGTTTACTTCTTTTTTAATTTTCAATTGATTTATGTGCAGTTCAAGCTGAATGTTTGCTTGGAGCCTTTTAAAGAAACTGAAAGATTAATTTCTAGAAATAGGTCATTTAGCCATTGTTGTATGTATTCTTATATTTCTCTGTGGGAACCCAAAGCCTTTGTATTAGCTGGGGCAATTTTCAATGGAGTATTGAAAGAAATCTGGGATTGTTTTGGTGATATATCACTCTGCTAGCAGCTGACTTGTCTTAAAAACTTGTGCCATCATCCTAAGACCCTCAACTAGATTGAAGCTGAACAAATCTCGACTTAATCACTCTCATTTCACTATTTGCTTCTTTTTACTTTGCATTTCCATAGGCATCTTGTGATATTTTTCTTTGCTCTGATTTGCTGTTGTGATGGTTTTGGTTTTGCCCTGTATGCTGTGGTAATTAGATCCAGTCAGGCCAAAACAAATGCTCATGACTGTGAACTTGATGAATTAAGTTATTCAACATTACAGAGAGTGCCTGATCACCGACAGCTTAACTCTTCAGTTCATTTCTTTTAATTTCTTTCTTTTTCCTTTTTTTGCTGTAGTAAAGACCCAGTTTTATAAACATTCGCCCATAAGTCTCGAGTTTCTTGAACCCCTCACTCCCCCCTCCCTTGGTATGTTTTCGTATTCACACGCAACGGCACGCACAATTGAAGAGCTTCGCTACAAAATTTCCCAAAGTTACACGCTTTTGCAGACCGGATGTTTTACGAAATTACGGAGTTGTATGACTTAATGTAATGGTTAGAGCCCTCCGCTGCCAACTTGAAAAATCACATATATCCACACACCTTCAAATTAAAAGGAAAGGAAGCGGAAGTCAAAATGTTCTGCAAGTGCTTGGCCAGTGAAGAAAATTGGCTTTCAAATGAAGAAAGTGGGTAATCGATTCTGCCTGGTGTCCCGAGTGGAAGACCACATCTCAGACTCAAGCCCGATTATTAAATGTTTTGACTCAGATGACCTAGCAGAGAAGGTTGAAAAATGTTGGGTAAAAATTGATTTAGTCAGCGTGGGTGGTGTAGGGAGTACCTTAGCTTGCAGTTGAACAAGAGATAAGGTATCTGTAGTCCTCCCCCGAAAATAAAAATCTATTAAAGATGTGGAAAAAAGGATGGTTCTCGGATCTCCTAACTCTTCTTCTATTCTTATATCAAAGAAGACCCACGAAAAAAAAAAACTCGTAGAAGAAAATGAAAATGACATGCATGCCAAACTCTAGACACTTCTTGAGAAAGTGAAAAACTTTCCAGAGGAAGAGTGTATTTAAATTTGTGATTTTAAATGGCGACTGTATCGGTTAACCTTGCTGCTGGTAATGTCTCCAGTTATGTTTCCATTGCCCCTCTAAGAAACCTGGAGAAGTCTACAAGAGGCTTTTTCCCAAAATTGACTCAAACGAAGACTCGGACTGCTGAAAAACATGAAAGTGATCAGATTGAATTGAAAATGTCTGCTAGGGATTAAACCAAATAAGGCCAGGGGTTTCATTTCATTAAAGAAAGTTTTTTCTTATTGTCGGTCTCCGTAGGAGGAAAAGGAAAGACTGTGGTAAACATATGTGAAGTTTTACATGGCATTGACGTATTCATATTACAATTACTGGTCCTGAAGCGTTCATGATTCAGAAGTCTACAGTGCCTCAGTGTGATCATCTTGTTCATGCCTGAATGTGAAAAGAAAAGTGTTGAAGGCAAACAGCGAGCATGTGCCACCGACAAATTATTACCAAAGACAACCCACGGTAAATGTAAACCTTATAGCGCATAGGCAAGGCAAGAACAATATTTCGGCGGAACCTACGTCTAAATATGTTATTTTCACTTTTCCATTTCGAGGACAAAGGTCATATCAGAAAACTTGCAGCTTTATCAAAGTTAGGGTTCCAGTGAACATAATAAAGGCATTAACCTCACAATTTTATTATAAAATGTTCCATCAAAGCTTTTCTCTGCTTGGTGTTGTATATTACATAATTGTATAATAACAGACTGAGTTTTTCCACTATCCTTTTTCTATTTAATGAAAAACTAAAAATTTTCAAGCATTGGCGATGAAAGACGGTATTTTATTGGATAAAATAACGTCTTTCATTGCCAATGCTTGAAAATTTGAAATTTAATCTTTTAGCCGATGTACCGGGTGATTTGGTGATTTCTTACCATGTAGTGCTAAGCGGAATGGTCGTGTTTTAAAATAGTTATTATATATAGACTTTGAACACCAATCCATGCCTTAAAATGAATTGATCAGTCGTTGCCCCGAAATTTTTCTCCAGATTTTTCTCTTCAGCGACTTGTAATTGACCTTTGAAGATCAATTCATCTTTTCTTTTTCAAGTACATCAACAGGTCAAAATATTTTTTCTTTCTATTTATTTGTAACATTACTGTTAATAGAAAATCAGTTTCAATTGGTTAGCTTTTTTTTCAGTCACAACGCAAGACAAAAAAACTTGCATGCGCGAATAAAGCACGGCAACAACGTTAACGGTGTTAGATTGAAAGCTTTGTTCTTTTAAAAGTCATTTATCCTAGAGCTAAAAAGGAACAAGCCTCGGAGGACCAGAAATACTCAATTTTTTTCACTTTGGAGGTTATTAAAGGTGACGCACCATATAGGTTCGTGTGCATGTCCTTGACTAATCGTAGTCATGCTAAAAATATCATATGAACAAACCCGGGGAACATTTTCATGTCTCTCTCGCTCCTAGAATTGGATTGTGTTTCTCTATTTCCCTTCCATAACGATCTGTAATGATTAGAGACCTCTAAACGAAGGACTGCCAAAAAACGTGTCCAGACTGTGAGAGGGTGAGCCATTTTCATCTTGTAGGCTTCTCTTTAACCGAAGCTCGGTTCAAGAAAACTCCATAATCAGTTTTTCGAACGAATGTGACTAACAAGAAACTGATAAACTGAGCCATTCCTCATTTTATCACTGAACTTCTTGTAGGTAACAATGGTGAAAGAGCTGTTTCTTGAATTTCTGTTGAAAATATGAATATATTGTCCGTTAAAAAACAATTGAATACAGTTGTTTGAATGTTTTTTTTGAAAGGCTTTGGTATCGTATTTAATCTTCTCGAAATGATTTCGCTATACTGGTGTGTTTTTCCCTCATCCTAAGTGGTATGGGTTTTCCAATTAAATATTTGCTTGACATTACCTTTAATTCATATTTACACAACATTTAATTGTTGATGTTCGAACCACCAAAGATGCTGAGAAATTTTTCTCGTTTTTTCCGGACCAAATCAACTTCTGCAATGAACGAATAGTTACCCTTAACCTTTCTTGAATATATTTTTCAGCTAGCTGAAAGCTTGCGGCTTGTCATATTTCCTAAGTTTTAATTTTCGTCTCGTATCAATGTAAATAAGCGTGATATTTACCTCCCGAGGAGTCAGTCCTTTCAATTGCCATACTTCTTGTCAGCTGTTTTTTTGTTAGTGTATCGTTCCAAGGAGCGCATCTCGGAGGTTGTTGCCCATCAGTATTCATGGTAACCAGCACCTGACCATCGTCTTCTGAAGGAGTCTTTTCTTCCCCTGAGAGATGTGACGTCAACATAATCTTAGGAGATTGTGATTGGTTAGTCTTACTACCGACAGACGTTTGGAGAATGGAAAGCGACTGATCACATTGAAATTGACCAGCAGGGTGGCCATTTGTAGAAATTTGTGCCGGACAAGAGATAGTGAAATCAGGATGCTGTTTGACTTGTACTTGAGAAGTAATCCTTGGGTTGAGTGCCCTAAACTAGAACACAGAGGAAAATACGTCTTAGGGGTAGTATTAGGGGTAGTATTGCCCAACTAGTATCTGAGTGGCGTAAGTTTCTGAAGTTTTTGTCGATGGGAGAGTATAACAGGGTAATTTAGTATTATCAACTGAGTTGAGTTTCAATGCCGACGTTTCGAGCGTTAGCCCTTCATCAGAGCGAACGCTCTGACGAATTCTGAGCGAATTCGCCCTAACGCTTGAAACATCAGCTTTGAAACTCTTTTACGGGGGCCATTTTACGTTCTCAACTCAGTTGATAACCCTAGTATCTGGGAGGCACTGGTTCAAATTCCCTCGAATTCTCAACTTCTTTCAGGCTTTTTTTTCCTGCAGTTCATGGCTTTATTTGATTTTGAATCCGCAAGTCGGATGTGAAAAGTATTTCACTGAGAATTATAGACAACTTTGCCGCTAATATAGCCAATAGAGAGTTCCGAAATTTTCTTGACATTGCATGATGAAATAATACACGACAATACACTCTATGTCGTTTAGGCGTATGCAATACGTTTCATGAACGATTCTTTAGCCCTTGGAGTGAATCTTTTTTTAGCACATTACCTCTTGTTTTAAAGTGGTTTCTCCTAAAGGGTGGTCTTTAAAATAATCAACTACAGCTCCGATTGTCGTAAAGCGTCTTGCGCCAACGTAGTAACCTTGGTCACGTGTTAACACGGCATGATGGCAAACGTATTTTCCCGCGCTGCAGAAAACAAGGTTAGAAAGTTTTTCATTTCAGAAACCTTCCCGTTAGTGGGCGTGAGAAAGGAATTCATCTAAGCATAAGAATAAAGGACACCAAAATTTCCTTATTTTAGGTTGACACCTTCTCTCGCACCCCGCCTTGCCATCGGTGTACAATGGCCAAGAGAATTTGTGATGAGAGGGTTAAAAATTATTTGAGCAAATAAGACTAAGGGAACTTTTTGGTTATTAGTAAAAAACTAGTTCGAGAGCTTGCTTAAAAAGCTAAATTTTAGCTTTATGGGGAGTTGTAATTGAAGTGCTAAAGAAGCATTTTGGTGAAAGTTTCTTTAGTGACATCAGATCCAATTTATTTCCTGCATGAAATTTGAATACGACCGAAGGATTACAATTGAATTGAAAGTCCTGCATCATCATATGACACGATCGTTAATTTTTACTGTGCACTCTTGAATTTATACGAGTTTTGTGCGGCATTTGAAAGAAACTGTGGTTTTGAGAGGGTATTCTAAGTAAAACTAACCCATTTTAGGTAGGACAAGTGATTTGTAAGTCTTTTTTGTGTCGCGGTGTTAAGACGCTTTTTTCATTATCGTTAGACAGGAAAATTTTCTCTAGTAATGCCTCACTTTCCTCAGGGTATCAGTCAACTAACTAGTGCCGGGCAACTTGTGATGTTCTGGCATCCCATCTGCTGGAGGCGTAAACCCACTAGAAACTCTTACTCGTATTATGACATTGAGACTGGTAAAAGTCCCGCCATCAATGAGCCAGGAGACTCTTAGGAGGTAAAACAAGATCAAGAAGTAAAGCCATAAAATACCCTCACCATATCGAGAGAAATAACTCTGACGTCATGTCATGGGAAAATACAAAGGCACCAGGCTCCGCTTGAGACAGAAGCTCTTCGGCTTCAGAACGGCTCAGCTTAAATGGGCTCCAACTGAAAGAACGGTCCCGTAAGTAAAGTTTGAGCGTTCAGTTACTTTCCTTTGAAGCAGATTTGTCAACATGTAAAACAATAATATTTACTACCATTTCTGTAGATGAGCATTTCCTACAGCACGAAAAAGTGTAAGCTTCAACATTCTCTCCCACTCCACCCTGAAAATATTATTTGCATAATTCAGCCACCATTCAATCAGAAGCTAAAAATGTATTTTGAGTGAACAACATGTTTAGAATCTTTCACGGTGTGTTGTAATTGTAAACTTTCAACATTTCCACTGTTAGGACCATTGTTGGTGTTCTTATCTGGGATGAAATGCAGGTGGCGCAAGTTAAAAACTTGGCTTTAATGCATTTTGTATTCATTACTTTCGTTTATTGTCGGCGAAATATCTTCCCCACCCCTCACCCCAAAAGAGACAGAAAACTTCATGGAAAAAGAAGAGAAATATTATTTCAAACATAAGCACCCATTTTTTTTCTTTTTTCATCATCTTAAGATTGGAGTCGTAGAGGTAGTCTTTTGTCGCGGACGAACGATGATCGAATGTGAGAGAGTACAAGAAATCATGTGCGTTCGTACATCAAACCTTTGATAAGGCCAGGGATGTCTCTGAGTAGCCTCTTATCACTCTAATCGCTCGACTTTACGAGAAAAACTAAGAATATATATGTTTTAATGGAAATATATTTTAACAGAACAAATAAAAAGGTCCTTCTTCGTTTCTCCCTTTTTACATAGATTTTGATCTCTAGGTGATGATGATTAAGATATTAAGAAACCGCGTTGGCTTTCATCCCACTCATATTTTCCAGATGGTTTACCGCAGAACTTTGTCAAAATATCCAGTCAATTTTCGACTCAGTTTTTCGAGATTTCGGGACTATTATCGTTCTCTTGTCAGTTCTCATTTGCTTAATATTCTTTAGCACATCTCATTTCTTCAACGTTTCGTTCTCATCAAATCTTGTCGGAAAACTAGCCAAGATTTATGCTGATATTTCAATTTACGTACACAATCATCAAAGAACATTTTCCTAGCCTTTTGATCCTTATTCTAGATAAGCTGCAAAATTAAAAAAGGCCACTTTTTCTCTTTCTTTCCTTGAATATCAGCCGCGCATGATTAAGTCAATCTAATGATAAAGAAAATCCCTAAATCAAAACGCTTTTTTCGTTCTACAGATTTAACAATCACTGCACAGTCTCAAGATATAAAGCTGACCAAAAAATAATGTTCGGTGCTTTTCGCTCTTTATGTAATTTCTTTGGCTCGTTTTAGCGACGAAGAAGAGTCAACACGAAGCAAATACTGACTCGAAAGAACAATAGTCTGGCGGCTGCACTGAATGAATTTCAACCCTATTTTGTTTACACACCTGCTTTCGTGTTTCGTGAGCGGTACAGGGAGACAAAAGCTTTCTATCTTCATAAAAATAATTTCTTTCGCAGATTTATGGTCTTGCAGCCCTTAGTTATTAGATTATAGCCGCGTTCATAGGTTAGAACATCGGTTCATTGTTATCCCCAAGCGTAAAATTACAGTTGAACAGAGTTTTTTTAAGCCAATTCGTCAGACATGTGCATTTCCATCCAAGCGTCTAGGAAACGCCGAAAATTATGCGCATATGAATGGCCTGATGAAGAACTGAAGTGTCAATTGAAAACTGAAAATACGTATAGCTGTTCTCAAAGTTCTTTATCTATGCTTTCAAAATTTATTATTAAACTCTTGGACTAAAGAACTCGGTGAAGTCGTTACAGAAGTGAAAAAAAGCCATGATTAGCGTGGAAGAGAGGAAACGAGATTGCAATAGAGAAATAGGTTATTCCTTAATAATGCGTTTAGCAGGTGAAGATTTAACGCGAAGCAAAATTACGTTATTTTCATTTTTCGTCGGTAATTTTAGTTCATATCGATTAGCTGGTTTATCTGTCTGCTTTGCTCCTTTGCCTGTGGAGGTTTTCCTTTTCGTAATCAGCATCTGCTTCATTTCTCACTAAAAACAATTTATATTGAGTAACAGCTATAATTCTCCGACTGACTCAGTCATATTCGAGATTATGGTTTTGTTTTTCATGACAACCGTTCGAATGTTCTAAAAAATTGATTTTTAGATTTTTCTTCGTTCTTGCTTGAACTAGGAATTTGTGGATATAATCGCATTTGTCGCCGAAAGAAAGAGATAAATGAATTCGGTACTCCAGGAAAGAAGCGATTGCCAACTTATAGGGAACTGATGCGTTCGTTTATGGTCCACATCGTCGGGAAAATCAGTTGCTCCTTGGTCAAAACTTCTCACAGTACCGACATTTTTCTTTTGAAAGCGGCCTGAAAGCAGTTGGTATAATTGTATTTCAGTCTTTCATAAGATAAAGATACTTACATTGCGGCTTCCGCAAGAGTTTTTATGGTGGATCCTGAGCATTTTGTCGATGATGAATGCGATGCAGAACTTTGGCTGGGTCGCGCGTTGTGGGGGTTCCAGCTCGTGTTGGAAATAACAACAACCGATTTCGAACAACCAGTACCCATCTGCTCTCTATATTGCTGTTAAAATCCTCATGGTCCGAGCGAATCGCCGATAAATGGATACAACACTTTCTCTTCAGGCAGCATCCTCACTTCTTAATCAGCTTTCGCGCGAATATTCTCCCGCTGAATAACTGCGAAATTATTCAGGGATTCAAAGTACCTTGTCACCTCACTATCGTAAAGTCAAAAGGACTCTTGCTCGTTTAAAACCAATTTTTGCGAATGTTTGACCTACTTTGTATTTAAGGCCGTCGATAGATGGCTGTGAAAATAATTTCCTTTTGATGTCCGATTAAGGAACAGCTCTTCTTTCACGCAAAATACAATAAGATGTGGAAATAACTTCTCAGCGTAAACGAGCGGGTACATGAAAGGTTCGAACTGTTGGAATATTTCCTTTGGTTGGCACAAAGGTTAAATACATTAGCATTTTAAAGGTTTCCATGACGACATAATGAAGAAATTCGATAGACATTTTGTGGGCGCTTTACCCAGCGTTTTTAAATTGGAATTAAAATGGTGCACCCGAAAGTTATCTCACAAAATGAGGGAAGTAAGTTACTCTAGGTGTAAATAAAAAGTCCTAAATCGGGCTCGAAATTTATAAACAAAAAAACAGTTGAATTCCGCCAATTAATTTTGGGAATTCCAAGGGCAATGATTGCGAAATTAAGAGTGATTCCTTCATGATGTCGCATTTAAACGAATTTTTGTTTTTGATGAAACTTGCATTGTAAGATTAGTCGGCAAAATTTCCTGAATCAGTTAACTGTTTGAACAGAACTCAGATCATGATAATGTGAGAGGTAACACAATAAACCAGAATGGTTATTAATTCTGCGCAGGCTGTTACTGAGTAATATTTTAAAAGATAATTAATTCATAATTTACGGCGTTTACAATGAATTTTTTTATGAGCCCTTTGAGTAGACATTTCAAAATATAATTAAAGAGATGGAAACAGACGATTAACAAATCAGTTACTCGATTTTTGTAGGTCTTTCCCCTTTGGTATCGATTTGTTACAAGATACCGGAACTCCTGCGTCGTAAGACAAGTGTTTGGCGCTTGGGGAAAGGTTACAGCTTTATTGCTTTAAATAAAAATAAATTAAGCATTGAAAAACGCAACCAGTTTGATAAATTGACTGAGAAGGATTTCGTCTCAACAGAGGTTTGCTGTTTGGTGTGATCCTGCTGTTCATCAAGACCATCAGTGCAGCCAAGGATCAAGATGGCGACTCTCTATCTGTCGAACATCTTGCATTAACGAACGATATTCTTCAGCTAACAACAGGAAAATGGTAAAAAGAAGATCATTTTTCGTTATTTGGCACCTCGCTGTATTCAGGGGTGTCTACTGTACCATACATTTTATCATTTCAAATTTGCAGAGGATCGATAGTTTTACCGGAAATTCGTATGGGATTTCAGAAGAATCTTTTAAATTTTGCAGGTTCGAGGTACGATAGCCTTTTCATCACTGGTACATTATTTCAAAAATTCAAATATACGGCTTTGATCATGACCTTGAACATTAAATGTAACTAGTTGAAGGATAGTGTTCGAAGGGTCTGAGAAAACTTTACGACATTTCTCAGTTGTGTTGATGTCGCCCTGGGACATCCTAGTTCAACGCTATTCCGTGCGCTATTTTCCTAAAAGATGAAATCACAAGTTTGCAAGAATTTTGTCCTTTGAAACGTTTCCTAGCTTAAGCCTCTTTTTTGGTTATTCAGAAAGGAAAGGAAAACCTTTCGCACATTTTTTGCTATGTACACTTTGAATATGCATCCCCATTATGTCACGAAATTTTTTTTTGCATATTATTGTTGATAGTTGTATTCAAAATTAGAAATAACGAACCTTAGCGCCTAGCCGGCGAGTTCTCCTCGACCATTTTTTTTGTGCATTGAAACTACGATTTGCGGCCAAAACGATCATGTTACGTAGCTGTGACATTGAAAACTGTGAACACACGTCGGCAACTATGATGGAGAAAGGAGAAATCTACAAGAAAGGACGAACGTATTACGTTGCCGGAGCGCCAAATGATGTTTGCTTCAAGAATAGTACACATACACTGGGTGTTTCTATACACTCTTGTCCAAAAGATGTAGCTGTATGGCCAAAATGGACTCGTTTCGATTGTCTACATCTAGGAGATTCTGCTCTTTAATGTCGTCGGCCTCATGCTCCGTACCGGCTTCGAAGACGGCTGTTACGAACACATACCACTAGTCAAATCAGGGGAGAGAACTAATGAATTGAGCTAAAAAGAATGCTGATTAAGGGGCCTGTTCCCACACCGTACGCGATTGTTCAACATTCTTTTCGGCTGACATTACGCAAGCGGAGAATGGTGAGTTCCTTATTGTTGTTTACTTTACGCCCTTGAGATGTACTTATACTCCTTGTCTTTCCACATGACTACATTTGCACTTTTCCTATCGCATGAAAATCCTACCAATGGTAGTTTCCATTGTATTTTTATTTGCATTTTTTGTGAACAGTGCGAAACATCCGGTGGATACCGGCATAAATACAAGCTCGAAGGGGCCGTGTATTCTGCTAACCTAGGTTTCCGAAAATCCATCCCACGTGCCATCAATTCTCTGCTGCCCTCAAGAAACTAAAAGTAGCAACAGTAACAATGTCATTGTGATAACAGCACTGCAACGAGATAAATAAAGAAGCAAATATTTAATTGAATTAGATGGTAGCGAATCTAAGTGCTGTGTGAAAGTCGATGCGTACGAAATATTCGCTTACAATACTGATGTCAGTTATTTGCCATTGAGCGAAATAGGCCGTATGACAATGATAAACTTAAACCGGCTCGACGACGATAGCCTCTGCCTTTGCAATCTCTGAGGAAAGGAGCAACTTGCAGTGAAACTGCCCGATGACTTCTCAGCGAAAAATCAATGTGCCTAGTGAAACAGCTGATTCTATCGTCAAAATTTAGCTTTTGGTTTGCTAAGGGAATAACTGTATAGCAACGAAACTCTAGAGCATTGACCAAGGGGAACCTTCGCCGCACTTGGTGCGAAGGAATAAATTGTTATGGCAACAGAAACGAACACAGCTACCCATTCTTGACATAAATTTCGCCATAGAGAACAAAACACAAACGTAACAAACTAAACATTTAGTAACGGGAGTCTTTTTGTTTTAATCTTGACCTGAACACCGCGGGCGAGAAACCACTTTTGTCACTCTTTGTGGAAATCTCCTTCGTAGAGCTAAACCGTACTTGCAACTTCTTGTAGATTTCTTCCCTACTTCTTGAGTACGATGTATCACGACTCTCGCTAGAGCTTACTGACGGTAGGTGGACATCGCTATCAGACATCATTTCAAGGTATTTCAACGCAGACTGATACAAAATTACAAGAGATGTGAGAGGTTTGTAAGTGTCAAGTGAGAGTTTTCACATTTTTCTACGTCATCACCCGCTAATTCGTTACCAGTCCAGGGGACACTTTTCTTAAGACAAAATAAGAGGCTCGAAAAAAACTGAGTTTTTAGCTCATTCATGCTGAAGAATTGCCAAGCCTTTGAACAGGAATGAGGCTAAGGGTGACCTTGTTATGATACAAACCTTGCTGCTTTTCAAATGCAAATTACTTTGTTATCCTGCAAACTAGATACTGGTCTCTATCACAACAAGGTCACTTTCAGCCTCACTCCAAATCAAAGGCTTGGCAACTAAGTACACAATTGTAAAATGGCCTATTTTCCGCGATTATCTTTCACGATCATTTGCACTTATGTGGAATATTCCTCGCCCGTTTCTCGATCACAATCGTGCTTAATATAATTTCAAGCCTTCATATAGTATTCTCACTTTGCGCGCGAGTTGGTTGGTGTGATGTCTGGACAGAATTTACCAACTTAATAAAAGTAGATGTAGATCACGGTAGATGTAGATGTAAATGAGATGCCACTATCGAATATTTAACACGCGCAATATTCGAGAAACAATTGACAGCTTTGCACTTGGTCCATACGTTTTATCTTTTTAACCGATATGAGTTTATTTTGCTGACAAAAATGCGAACCGAGACCAAAACTGTTCCTTCGACTTGATACATTTTCAACGTTCAGGAGTGTACATACACTGATTTTCACATATGCGCCTTGTATTGTTACTGACTTACACGAGGAACCAGCGAATTTTTATAGGAAAAAGCGAAGCGTTGCTTTCGTGACTTGCCATTTGTTTACTTCTCTGGTGGTTTTATCTCTCATAGGTTTGGTGACTACGCAAATATTAATATGTGAAAATCAGATTATATGGAGGCTTGAAATCCTATTAAGAACGATTGTGGCCGCTTTGTTAAAAACCAAATGCAATGGCCGCTTTGTTTAAAACAAAAGATATCAAGAAACGGGCAAGGAATATTTCACAATTGTGCAAATGATCGTGAAACATGAGGGTTACTAATATTTTGCTACTAGAGCAACATCTAATGCCTAATTATGCCCACCTAGCCCACCTTCGGCCCCACAAACACACACACACACACACACACCAACAAAAAGGACTCTGTCTGCCTTATGACCTACTTAATACAATGTTGTTGAAAAATTCCAAACACAGTTTTGTTCACAGGTCATAGAAATGTCAACTTTACTATAACAACGGCCGATAGCAAGTGGGTAGAGATTCAATAATTGCCATTTACTAACTTCTCCAAAGGCGTATGTCAAAATTTTGTAACTTGTGTTTGGCGAGGTTGGTGCGTGGGAGGACCGATGTCTTTTGTTTAAATTTTCAGCTGTGTACAGAAGTTTAAATTTAGTCGCATTTCCTTTATGATAAAAGGCTTCGAATTTAAAATTAGTTGACAGTTTTTTGGAATAAAACTTTTTGTCTAAACATTTAGGGCAACACAGATATTGTGCAGATAGATGGCCGAGTTAAGACGCAGTCAGAATCTTGTAGTTTCCATGGAAGACATTGTAAATGAAAAGGGTCATGGAATTTCCCGAACTAGAAATAAGGATTGCAGGCCAGGAATCTGCCACGCGGCTGAAAGATAAACAGTTACTGCAGATGCTAGTATTTTTTCGCCATCACCAGAGATGTGGGTACTGAACCACTCGGCCATATCAAATGCACTGTCAATCAATTGCCTACGACGTATCTGATTGGTTCACACATAAGGTGTGATGGGTGAGGTCGCGTGTCCTTCGGAAAAACCCCCTTGTTAGTTTGCTGTAAGTTTGGTGTTTGCAAAGGCCCAAAACAAGCTTACACACGGTCAGTTACTTTTAGGTACATTTAAAGATACATTTTAAAAAGTGTCTCCTCAAACCTGAGCCGAGTTTGGGATCAAATTTAACGAAATTTCGCACAAAAGCAAACTTGTGTTGGAACTTGAATAAAGGGGCAAGTTTCTAAAGAAAGTATAACAAGGTAATTTGTTATTATCAACTGAGTTGATAACGTTAATTGGGCACTGTAAAGAGTTTTAAAGCTCATGTTTTGAGCGTTAGCCCTGACGAACAGCTAACGCTCGAAACGTCAGCTTTGAAACTCTTAACGGTGCCGGCCAGTTTACGTTATCAACTCAGTTGATAATACCAAATTACCTTGTGTTGAAACTTGCCTGCCGCCCACAAATTGAAGTACGTTGCGCTTGTATTCAGACAGAAATCTAAAATTGAATTCGCATCTGTCAAGAGTCAGTTTGACTTATTTACATACTATATGATGTCGTCGAATGCAACTTGACAATATCTGCAAAACGGAACCGAATATTAAAGGTTTTAGACGGACAAAACTCCCCAAAGAAATAAAATACTCTTCTCCAAATATTTTCAATAATGAGAGTATAATATTCAGCCAGAAAAATTATGTCACGGTACAACTACGTATATCAACGCGTGTTTCCTGGCGATGGTGACTACGCAATTCCACGGTGCGCAGCTGTAAAGCTAAATGAAATTCAGCGTTCAAAATGCTTCCAGTCATTTTATTTTCAAAGTTAGAGCAATAACACTCTTCTTTGTTTACAAAACATGTCTACAGTAAGATAAATATACACTGTAAGTGCGGGAAATTACAAGGTTTTCAGCAAGAACAGATAAGGGGTTAGTCGTGGCCAACAGAAGGAAGGAAGAGAAGATACCATTTCGGGCTCGGCCCTTCGTTATTGATAGACAAATGGCATCCTTTGCAAATTTATACGTTATGGTTTGGAATTTACATTAACATAAAAACCTTTATGTGCGCAAACGGCCTAAACGAAAGGGTATTCGTCTAAATCCTAGCGTAGGAATGAGACCAAGGAAAGAAAGCCTTGAACCGAATAAATGGGAGAAACCTGCTTGATTTCGCTGCTGCGCTGCATATATTTTGATCCAGCGTTACACAAACCACCAGCAACGCAGCTTTTGTCTCTTTTCCATTACGGTAAGAGCGTGTTTACGCACATGTGCGGTTCAATTGCATGGCCACAGGTGCCAATTAGACATATTTTGGATCCATCACTTGTATACAAACACCTTGTGATTATGATGAGTTTACTTGGTTCACGTGCGGCCAGAAACGCTCTATCTTGATAGACAACGAAAACTTTCCTTTCCCTGAGATCGTCCACTAATGCCTTTAGACGAAGTTCTATGCGGTTGCTACGGCCTCGCCTTTGGAACAGGATTTCCCGCTCTAATTTGCAACTGTTTGCTTTGAAACGCACGAATTCTTTGACTTATGGTGTTTTCAGCCGATGTATGAGGTGCTTTTCCTGCAGCTCTTAGTTGCTTCTGATATTCTGAGTGAGGGTTCAGCTTCCGGCGGAAATAATTAATGTAGTCTATTTCGTTTGTAAGCAGCTTTTCACATAGGTATCTGTTGAAACGTGAAACGCCATTGTTTAGCTTAAAACCTCGTATTTTTCCACTCAGTCGAAACGCGGTTTCTGTCACTTCCTCAGGGGAAACACAGTCACGACACATCTCCAAATTTTTGCGCTTCAGTTCTGTAAGGTCTTCGTAAAATCCCCTCCCGTGCCGTTTGATTTTCTCCCAGAAAGTCTTGTTGAAGTGTTCGTAAAGTAACACATCGGCTCGGTTCCAGTTCCTTATCCTGCGCCTGAGTTGCGCAGAAATAAAGTTATGCGACGTATTATTACCGTACTTTCGTTGATTCTGTTTGATGTAAATAACATCGTCTAAATCCCAGCAGAATTCACGCTTTAGAAGAACTAGACTCTCGTCGAAATATTCCATGATAAGAACCAGTGAAAATTCCTTCTCAATATTTGCGATAGCGTTGCGAAGTTCACTGTCTTTCCTGCTGCCCATCAATGACGAGAAACCTAAATCAAAGAACATTCCATTTCTCACCAAATTGATCGATTCAGGAAGGGATTTCACCCTTTTTGTTAAGTTTTGAAGGTGTCCATAAGGATTTTTCAGAAAAACTTCCATTGGATTTGGAAACTTCGGCAAATTAAAATCACGATACAGTTCCATGTAGTTGAATGTAGACTCAAACTGATTAACCGGGTCACGCAAAATCGTAATATACTTAGTGTCGCTGCGCATTACAATATCCATTGCAGGTCTATTGTATCGAGCGTGGTTACATAGGATATGAGCTGGTTGTCCGTTCAATCGAAACATGTCCACATTCCTCCAATTGAAGTAACCTGGCCAACCAAAGCGGTACAGATGTTCCCTTGGAAGTGCTATGCTTAGTTCTCTGAGGTCTGCATAACGATTTAGGATATTTGTGAGAGTGCTGCTTCCGGTTTTATGGGTTTTGAGGAAGGCGATACTTTTGTGAGGCGTGCAGCTGTTGGGAGAACGACGGAATTTTACAATGGACTTCACTACCTCAACAAACTGATACTTGTCGGAAATGAGACTAACAAGTCTGCTATGTTCCGAAACTACACGTTTTATTTTTTAAAATCAACTTGATCTTCCTCACACTGTTCAGGTCTCACGCTCTGGTCTCTCTCATTATATATATATATATATATATATATATATATATATATATATGTAAAGAGTAATTGACTTACGTAAGACAGTGCTCAATACATAGGAGTAGAGCGATGTATATATTGTGGGAGGAAAAAGACAAATCAAATCAAATTGTCTTTTTCCTCCCACAATATACATACATATATATATATATATATATATATATATATATATATATATATATATATATATATATATATATATATATATATATATATATATAAATATTATGAGAGGAAAAAAGGACGTAACTACATTTCCCGACAAGCCTGTTTCGTGAATCGCTTCACTCTTCAGGGGTTTAAATTAAATTTTATTCGCAAAAAATAAACCGGAACTCAATTAACGTTGAATAATCTCTGACATACTGAAGGTAGGACATGATCTACATCGCAAGTGAATTCATAATGAGACAAACAGCAACACCTCATAATCACTGTCTTTGACCTCGATAAATAGCACTGAGCTTTTCCAAAGATAAGAATTTAATAAAAGGATACTATGAACAAAAGATTGAAGAAAGAGCTTAGGTAGAATCTTCAAGGAGTAAGGTACTAACTCGAGGGAACTTTTATCTCATTTTAGTGCTTTTTCTGTAAACAGTGGGGGTTTTGTGTGCATTTTAGCATGGTTCCTTGTCTCTCTTACTACTCCTTTGCGAGGTGTCTCACTGACAGATATCTACCTTAATTCGTCGTATTTCACGAGGCTTTCTTCTGTAGACGTTTCTTGGATATCATCCTCCTCTTCTACAGCCAAATCTTCAGATTGTCCGTTTGTACTGTTCAGTATTTCTTCTATTTCGCGATCAACAGCCCTAACACTCTCTGATTCAGCGTCATCCTCCTGAGGTTCCGTTGAAGAAGACGACTGGCTTAAGTCGTCGCTTGCTGCTTGCACGTAACGGTTTCTGCAAAATCAAAAGTTTGGCATGAATGATAAATTCCAGTCTCTACTTAACCCTTTACACTCTAACATCAGTATCTATATTCTTCTGACTCTTCTCTTCACTTTGATACTGACAAGGAGAATTTGTTTAAACAATCTAAGCTTCTCAGGTTGGTGATCATTACCTTGTTCTGATGATCTTAATGAATGTTCAGAATTAATTCTGTAAGGAGAAGTTAGATGCTGGTCAATCTAAGGGTTTAAGGGTTTTATCTTGTGACAAATTCGTTTGTTACAAGATACTCACTGAGAGAAGGAATTCAACCCATTAACCCTTTAACCCCTAAGAGTGACTAATATCTAATTTCTCCTTACAACATCACCCTTGAATCAAACATTAAGGTCATGAGAATAAAGGAGATGATCACCAACTTAGGAAGCTCTTTATTGTAGAACAAATTCTCCTTGTCGGAACCCTAGGAAGTGTCCAGGGAGTCAGTAGTATGGAGAATATGCATACTGATGTTATGGAGTTAAGGGTTAACCTTCCATACTAAGTAAAAGCAAACTCTTGCCGTAGGCTGATGAGGTGGTTCACAGCCGGATTCACAGCCGTTATTTATGCTTTGCTTATGATAATAAAGTATCAGTTAGGCTGACCAAAAAAGTCGAAAAAATTTCAAACTTCAAATTTGGAAAACCTCATCCAGAAATCCTACTGACTCTCTAAGTTTTCTTTCCTCGCTCTCGAGAAGTGCGAAATGAGTGCACAAATTAATTTCTTCGTTTTATATCCCTCGTTATTTCTTTAGGATGCGAATATATTCCCTCCTGCTCAACAGACTGTCAGGCTTAAAGACAGACCTTCCCTTAATAATCGGATAAATGAAGTACCGTGCGTGGAGAAATTTACCCAGGGAAGGGGAAGGGGAACAAGTTCCCGAACGATCAAAGATGGCAGAAAGAACTCGTGATTTTCACAACGTGACCAACCAGTGAAAGTAACAGAACGTTGAGACACAATCAAATCATCACCGATATCCAAAGTTATGATCAGTATCACCATCGTTCCAAGGTATCCAGCGGTTAATTGGAATGTTTAAAGGAAGGCAATATATGACGTGACAGCTGGACAATAAATTCGGAACTTTGTAGGCGAATTGTCAATCAAAGTTACTTAGATTAAAACATGGCAGCCACACTCTGCTCAGTCTTGTCACAATCGACAGACTGTCTGTTACGCACAGAATAAGCGATGAGGCAGGGAAACTTTCGATTCATTTGTACCTGATCTCTTTGCACCGCCTTTTTGTTTCCCGATGCATTCACTTTGAAGCGAGCAGCCATTAGGTTGAAGCAGGTTTACAATCATATGAAATCGAACTGATCATATGTGACCCTCAAAATGTCTTTCGGTTTTAAGCAGCTGAACGACCTGAAGCTCTTCTGCAGAACCGTGACAAGTAATATGAATGATAGGACTAGGGAAATTCGCAACATTGAACGAACCAAACTAAATTAACGAAAATCAATTAAAGGAAGGCATTTGCTGATACGAAGTATACCATGTCTATAGGAATTCGCTGCGCACATGTCGTCAGAAATACGACGCGTATTATTTACAATCTTTTACTACAGTGACTTGTTTTTACTTTCCTATTCTTATTTTGGTATCATTGTCTTCGTATTCCTTTCACCAAATCGGTGTTTAAAACCAAAATGGCGTTAATATATGAAATAAGGAGGGAGTTACTCACTCAGTGGACGTGGACGGATTGAGTTTTGCGCGAAGAAATTCTGCGTACCTTGAAAGCGTCTTGGACGGAAAGTGGATCAGATTCCTTTCCTTGATTTTTGGAAGCAGTAATGAGGCGATAAAGCACATAAAGCTTAAACCAAGAAAACTAAAAAACAAGAAGCGCTGAAACCTCATTATTTTGTTCCTCCTAAACAGCAAAGACATAAAAATGTCATTGCTGGCGGCGAGATTATCCGGGGTCGGATTTCATCCAAATACACGCTCTTTGTTTCAGTTCTCTGTCACACGCAACATGGAGTAAAAGCAAATAAAAGCGACTGGTTCAAAGATTCCTGTGATTTCCCTGTTCAATAAGTCACCGGTTCATCTGCAAGTACCTGCTGATTTCAACTCATACGAGAAAAGCGCTTTAATTTAGCGAAACCAAACTCTTTATGGTTGGTATAATTAATTTTAAATTGAAAGCTCTCAGGTTATTTTAAACCATACACGTGCCACAGTCACATAAGTGAAAGATAGTGGGTATCACAATACCCGCGCAGACTCCGTTGGATTCTTGCAAAACCCAAAGTCAATACAGGTGATGGATGTAGAATTTTTCTGATTGAAAGTTTTTTCTGATAGAAATGGATTCATTGGGACTAAGAAGTATTGCGCCATCCCTTTCAGCGGTGAATTCAATTGGCGGAAAAAGCCTTCGAAGGTACCGCTGATACGGCCTGTGTGGAGCTGTCTTTCCACATGGGAAAATACAGCTCTGTCAGCTAAACTCTCGGTCGAATCCTGGTGGGAGCAATTGTTATTATTCGATACTTTTGTAATCGGGACTTCTATTGTTGGTTGATATGTAACTCCGCTAAAGATATGACCTCAATGGGGCTTGGAGCTCAGCCTTGCTGTGGCTTGGAACTCAGCTTTCTCTCCATCTCTCCTCACCCATGCCATTATTTTCTTGTCGTTCCATATCGTCCTATGGCTTGGCGTGACTCCCGCATAGTTCTAAAAACTACTTCGCAAGCTGGAAGATCAGGGGAAAGAGATTGACTCAATAATTGAATCCAAACAAAAATAGCTTGTGATAACTGATTGGAAAGTTTACTCTAGCAAATGGATAGAAAAACTAGAATGCACAGAAGGACTAGTATAAAAATCTCCCAAGCGGTCAGGTTGGTTAAGGGTGTACCTCGTGAGACGATTAAGTCGGTGAAACATTACGCCAGAAACGTATGGGCTTTTCTTGCATCTTCTCTCGATGTCTTCAGGTATGAATGCCCCCTCCACCAATTTTTCCTTACGTGTAAACCTTCTCTGATAAGCGTAGAAAATTAAAAAGAAAAGTCACTTTTAACTCATGTTTGAACCTGATATTTTTAACTTCTCCTCTTTCGACTCCCCTGACTGGAAATACGCGACTTCCTTTTCAGACCTTTCTGTTATTTAATTCGGTAACCTCTGCTGTAACTGCATATGTCAGTGTCTTTAAACAAACTGTCCATGATCCTGGCAACTCTAGCGACTGAAATACGAAATTTGTCCACCATCTGTTTCTTGCGCTGCGAAAGTTTGATTTAAATGAAGACTAGGTAGAACTAGAATATCATATTTCAAACTTAATAATGAAGAGAGACGAATAGGTTTCAATTATGAAGATATTTGGAGGAACCTTGGAAAAATACAAGCATTCAATTTTACATTACAGAAATTGATGCCAAACATTAATCAAATTTTCTCTTTAGTTTTAAAGAGGTTGTAAAGTTATTGATGGTAGCCTCTCACAATAGCAAATAAATGAATTTCCTTGAAGGTAGAGTTGTCATACTTGGGCTAGGTAATTCATACTTATTCTTATAATATTCTTATAAGCTAGTTTCAGGATGGATACAATATTTTATGACATAAATTTGATGCATAGGCTGTGCACAAAACTTTAATTTGACTATACTTTTTTGAGCCAATACAAATCCCTACTCATTATAAAATGTGGGGAATAGGTCAGGAGATAATGTGTCATACATCTGCTAGATTTCATGAGCATATAACTATATAAAAGTCTTAAAAAGACATAACTGATATTAGGAGATCTTGGAATATTTAAAAGAATATAAAATTTGGTTGAAAAACTAGGATTTATCCTAGAACAGATAAACAAGATTCTTAGAAACAGAAATGTGTGCTGTCTAATGAAAAAGCAAGGGAAAATTTTTTGCAACACCTATGTGTACCATTATGTACATAGTAAAGACATTCAAAGTAGTCACAATTGCACCTTTAATGTTGAAAACACAAGACAAATGTAGATTTCCTATATTTTAAGCCTGCCATGACCTCAAAAATTTGATACACACCTCAAGAGGAGAACAAATAAATATCAAGTTGCCATTTATTCAATTTGGGTCAGTCAGGTACAATTAACAAAAAAAATGAGTGAGAATTGGTAGTTAACCACAGCTCTGGGTCTGCCATTAAATTTTAATCTTTAGAGAGTGCTTTAATAGTAGCAATTTGCTCATGTACAACAGAACTATCTACTGCTAATTTCCCAATGGACTGCTTTGTGAAAACTTAATGCAAATTTCATTTAACAGCATGTTGGGGAAGTAGCCTTCCCCCCTAACCAGCCATCAATTATTTTAAGGGCATGGAGTCAACGACTCTTTAGGTGGTAAGAAGGCAAGTATCAGTATTCCTTTCTTCATTTAAAAAAGTACAGAGGTTATCAGTGAACAATGAGAAAGAATGAGACTGGTGATGACTATGCTATTTGTACAAATATCCAGTGGAGGATAATAAGTGGGAATGGTCTGCACAGCTCTCTTAAATAACTTTTAACTTAAAAAGCCAGGGCACCTATAATCTTGCCTTCTGCATTACATGGATGCCAATTTAAACTTCATGCATCAAAATATGCAAAAGGTACCCTTCATCTATGTGCCTAGAGGCTAAACAGTAGATGGAAGGAGGCAGGTCAAAGTAAAACATGAATTAAAGGAGGAAGATTCTCATTAATTCAAGTCCTAATTAAAGGAGGATCCTTGCTTTTCCACCTTTTAAAACTCACATATCTGGTGACTTACTCCTTATATCAATATTTAGTTTGGGTATCAGCCTTTGTAAGAACACCTTGCTTAATTGAAAGCTTCAAAACAAAACACAAGATATTAATAAATTTAATCTTACCCAGAATAATTGTAGAACCCAAAATCTAACTAACTTGCAGTTGAATAGGAAAAACTTCAATGTGTTTTTACAGCTACTTTCATTCTATATATCACACACCAATCTCACATCTCACATATTCATTCTATATATCACACACCAATAGACACTTCAGGGTGATTTTTTGATGTTTTTTCCTTTTTCTTGCAGCTATCTAGTTTGTGTATCTGTCTTTTACAAGCTGAAATCCGAGAAAAGTCAAGTCCATGCTGGTAATTTAACACATTGCAGGAAAATCCTACAACTAATTAAATGTTGTTTGATCAAAAGCATAAAAGGCAATGGAGGAAAGTAGCTAGCACAATTAAAGTTTCCTTAAGTATTCTGTGATCTTTTTTCTCTCAAATGATAAAGTTTATAATTTCACTAATTTCACTGTCTTCTATTCTTTTGTTTCTTTGCTTTCCTAAAAATCTTAACTATTGTTGCTAAGAAATGTAAAGAGCAAATAAAATGTGAACAGTTAAGAAAGACATTATGTTGTTAGATTCATACATGTAGAGTACTGCTTGAATAAATCATTGCAATAAGTGCAAGTGCATAGTAAACAAAATTCAATTTATCACCTTGGAGAGTGCCTTGTGTACACAAAATTTTAAGTTCAGTGCTTTTTGTAGCTTTCTGGGCAACAACAATCAACAGAGAACAACAGCTATACTGAGCATTTTTTGAAGACACTTCTATAATGGTAAGTATACACAACTAAAATGAATCAGTGAAGCATGCCAAACAGGTCTGATTGTCATTTTGCTTTTCATTAATTCCAAACAGATTATTTTGAGCATTCTTTGCAGGGTTGATAACAATCCACTCAAAGTTTTCAAATTTGTCAACAGCTTGAGATTGAAGTAAAATTTACCTGTATTATTTACAACAAGAGTTATGAGAGGGTTTAAAGAATTTGCTTCCTTATCAAGGAAGTAACTTCCTTATCACAACTCTAAATGTGCTTTTGGGGTACATATATCAGGATATTTGCAAAGATAAATCCGCGGCAAACTTCCTCGTTAAGTTTGTTTCCAAAAAGCAACACTTTAATCTTGATCGATAACTAGACGCCATCTTCGATAGATGAGCTTTAACGTTGTATATCGTCCATCCAAGTGTCCACTTTGTGGCACGTTAAAGATCTTTTCCCAAATTTAATTTTGGAGGGTGCATCTGGAACGCTGACAGCTTAAAAAAAGGTTTTGTTTGTCTTTGAAAATGGCGACCAACTTTTTTCCTCTTGGCTACCACTTTGAAGAATTAAGGAGCCAAGAACCTATCAGAAAAAAAAAATTAATTTCACGCCCTGTATATGGATTTATCGTTCTTAATCATCAATGGAATTAGATTAGCTGGATTGGTGTAACTAGATTAACTTAAAAATAAAATATCCAATCAGGTTACATAAATGGTTCATGAATTGCTTACACCGTTCGCTGTTATTTGGAAATATTCTAACCAAAAAATAATTAGTGAGATAACTTCTTTTCTCTTAACACCACGACTTCATCAAACATTCCAAACGATAGGACAAGAAATTATTTGGTGAATACTAGCCTGCGTTGCTGGCGCTCTGCGATTTTGCGGGCGGAGAGAAAAATTTTTCTCTCCGTTCCCAAAATCGCAGACCGCCAGCAACGCAGGCTGGGTGAATACAAACACCTGAAATGTTCGTGAGCGATGAACTGGCTCTAAAGGCTTGTAAACCACGAATGCCAAATAATTTTACCGAAACGTCATTTCATTTTTTTGCCTTCATCAAAACAGCAATGAATTATAACGTGGAACTAGTAAATGAAGTAATAAACTAGTAATGAAACATCTGGAATTTTTCTGGGCCTTATTGTAGGGGAAAACTCAGATTAAACTCAACTCCTCCTTTCTCTGCTCCTCTGCGGTTTGCTTTCTCTTTGTTGTTCACCTATTTTCAGTCTTTTGTCTGGAGCTCTTTGTATTTCTTTTTAACGTTGTTTTTCGATAGATATTCGCCTTTTCACATTAGCCTCTTCAAGTTCTCTTTGGCGTTCCTTTTGCTGTGTTTCTGCCTACTTTGTCACGTTGTTTCTCTCTCTCTTTCGCATTTTCTCGACTCGCTCGCACCTTTTACTTCTTTCTCTCTCTCTCGATTCTATTCCCACACAAACTCTTTCACAAGAAACTTAAAATA